ATTAAACTGTCTCTATCCACCTGTTACCATCCTATCGACCCCCATTAATAACTGTCCCCTATCCCAACCGCTACCATCCTATAGAACCCCATTAACTGTCTCTATTACACCTGTTTACCCATCCCTATAGAACCCCATTAACTGTCTCTATCCACCTGTTACCATCCTATAGAACCCCATTAACTGTCCCTATCCACCTGTTTACCTCCTATTAGAACCCCACTAACTGTCCCTATCCACCTGTTACCATCCTATATAGAACCCCCATTAACTGTCCTATCCATCCACCTGTTACCATCCTATAGAACCCCATTAACTGTCCCTATCCACCTGTTACCATCCTATAGAACCCCATCATTAACCTGTCCCTATCCACCTGTTACCATCCTATGAACCCCATTAACTGTCCCTATCCACCTGTTACCATCCTATAGAACCCCATTAACTGTCCCTAAACACCTGTTTACCATCCTATAGAACCCCATTAACTGTCTCTATCCACCTGTTACCATCCTATAGAACCCCATTAACTGTCCCTATCCACCTGTTACCATCCTATAGAACCCCATTACTTCCCTACACCCGTTACCCCGAACCCTTACCTCTGCCACCTGTTACCATCCTATAGAACCCCATTAACTGTCTCTATCCACCTGTTACCATCCTATAGAACCCCATTAACTGTCCCTATCCACCTGTTACCATCCTAAGAACCCCATTAACTGTCCCCTATCCCCTGTTACCATCCTATAGAACCCATTAACTGGTCTCTATCCACCTGTTACCATCCTATAGAACCCCATTAACTGTCCCTATCCACCTGTTACCATCCTATAGAACCCCATTAACTGTCTCTATCCACCTGTTACCATCCTATAGAACCCCATTAACTGTCCCTATCCACCTGTTACCATCCTATAGAACCCCATTAACTGTCCCTATCCACCTGTTACCATCCTATGAACCCCATTAACTGTCTCTATCCACCTGTTACCTTCCTATAGAACCCCATTAACTGTCCCTATCCCACTTTTACCATCCTATAGAACCCCATTAACTGTCTCTATCCACCTGTTACCTTCCTATAGACCCCATTAACTGTCCTATCCCCTTTTTTACCATCCTATATAACCCCATTAACTGTCCTATCCACCTGTTACCATCCTTTTGAACCCCATTAACTGTCTCTATCCACCTGTTACCATCCTATAGAACCCCATTAACTGTCTCTATCCACCTTTTACCATCCTATAAACCCCTTAACTGTCCCTATCCACCTGTTACCATCCTATAAACCCCTTAACTGTCTCTATCCACCTGTTACCATCTATAGAACCCCATTAACTGTCCCTATCCACCTGTTACCATCCTATAGAACCCTTAACTGTCCCTATCCACCTGTTACCATCCTATAGAACCCCATTTAAACCGTCTCTATCCACCTGTTACCATCCTATAGAACCCCAGTAACGTCTCTATCCACTGTTCCATCCTATAGAACCCCATTAACTGTCTTATCCATGTTACCATCCTATAGAACCCCAAACTGTCTCTATCCACCTGTTACCATCCTATAGAACCCCATTAACTGTCTCTATCCACCTGTTACCATCCTATAGAACCCCATTAACTGTCTCTATCCACCTGTTACCATCCTATAGAACCCCATTAACTGTCTCTATCCACCTGTTACCATCCTATAGAACCCATTAACTGTCTCATCCACCTGTTACCATCCTATAGAAACCCCATTAACTGTCTCTATCCACCTGTTACCATCCTATAGAACCCCATTAACTGTCTCTATCCACCTGTTACATCCTATGGAACCAATGATATGCATGCATATCTATATAATGTACAGCAGGGCTATTCAACTATATTCTTACAGGGGGAAAAAAGGTTAATTGCAGAGGGGCTGGACATTTTCCACATGCGATTCTTCTTCTGAAGAACTGTATAAAACAAGTGACTCACAACCACCAATAAGGCACTTTCCTTAACATGAAATGTTGCTAAAAGTAATTAGGGAAGAAGTGGAGGACGCTCAACCGTCGAGGTGCAACCAAAACATCTGATCATCACTGAAAAGGAAAAGGTGCAATGCTAGCTCACCATTATTTTGTTTAGTGAAACAACTATTACAAGCTTCTTAAGAGAAATTAGGTCATTTTAAAATCATCTGAAAACTAAGCATCTCAATACATAACACAAAGATATGTCAAATCAGATATGTCAAATTCCAGTCTGAAGGAAGTATGCTTCGAATTCATCTCCCTCAGTCATTAGGTGCGTTGTTTGTCACACTCCCTTCTATCGAGTCCTTTGAGCATCAGAGAGGGCAACAGAAGGCATGTATGTGCTCCTTAGAGTCATAGCTTTCATCATATTTTGTAGCTTAAACCGTTCAAACGCTACCGCCAAATGCATATGACCAAATAAAATAATCGCCATGCCACATAGGAGCTAGAAACCAGACTATAGACAACCACCATAGTGCTTGTCATTTTGGCACTGAACGTCGGATTTTGGTGCAGATTTTTTTTTACAGATCTTTTATTAATGTTCAGGGCCAGTATAAATTCATAAACGGGCCAGATCTGGCCCGCGGGCCACAATCTGAAACATTCCCATACCTAATGCACATCCCATTAAAAGGGAAATCTGGGATTCAAACAGCAACAAAATGGATGTACCAATCCTAGATTGCCCCTTTTTTCTTTTTTTTTGCACTGTGTCCCTCTCAATGATGTATATAAACCCTTGATTGCTGATGCTATGTTTTGGCCAATGAGAGGCTTTGAAGCCACTGGTCGGCCATATTGGCAGTCCTCAGAAAAGCAGTCCTCCATAGACTACCACAGTATGAGTAATAATACACATCCAACCTAGCGGTCAAACAGGGAAATGGTTCTAATCGTTTTTACACCATTAATTTTTCCCATAGGGGATTTTGGAAACACTTAAAATAAGGGCTGTGTTTTGTGTAGGTTTACCCTGATGTGACCCTTTGAGAACCGTGTAAATCGCTCTAGGACAAGGTGACTTTTATCAATATATTGGCCTGTATTTACCCCCCCCAAAAATGAAATGCTAATGAGCTGCTAATGTGGCTACCATAAAGAACTACAAATGCCATGAGGCAAAGGTAATAATCTCTGGATTATCTGTCTAATGTTAGCTAAATGTAGTAATGAGAATTGTCTTGTGCCAAGTTTTAATTGACACAATACCTGTTAGCAAAGGTTCACTAAGAACGTCAGGACTTGCAGTTTGTATCTGCATGATTCTAGTTGATGCTAATTAGCATTTTCAAATGGTTAGAGCCCTACCACCGACGGTGGTAATTGTGTGCACCTATGGGCCCCGCTAGGCCGCTGGACAAAGCCTGTGATGCATGCCTAACCACTGCCCACCAGATCCCACAAGCCCTATAATGTTTCAAAACCAGGAAAAAGATGGTAGTACAATTAGAAATTCCCTGTTTGAACGTGGTTTTTAGTTTATGCACGCCCTCCAATGATGGGTTATTGATGAATGATTCTCGTACTCTTAATGTTTAAGGACCAAAAATGAAGCTTTGAAGTCATTGTGTTGTATGGACAGTCTTAAAAAAAGCAAGTGTCCTATAGACTACAAGTATGGTAAAAAAATTACACATTAGGTCAAACGATTTCTATCGTTTCCAAACATTAATTTTTACCATGGGGATTTTGGCAAAGACGGACTCAAAAAAGGGCCCCTGTGTTTGTGTATTTTACTGAATGTATTTTAAAAACCTGTGTAAAATGCCTTTCATAGGCAAGTGTTGACTTTTTCACTATATTGCCTGTATTTACCCCCCCCAAAAATGAAATGCTAATGAGCTGCTAATGTGGCTACCATAAAGAACTACAAATGCCATGAGGCAAAGGTAATAATCTCTGGATTATCTGTCTAATGTTAGCTAAATGTAGTAATGAGAACTGTCTTGTGCAAGTTTTAAATTGACACAATACCTGTTAGCAAAGGTGTCAGCTAGAGATGACGTGCAGGACCTTGCAGGGATTTGTAGTCTTGCATGATGTCTACGTTGATGCTAATTAGCATTTTCAAATCTGAGAGTAAATAGAGCCGAATATATATATATCTATAATTTCTTTACCCCATTTTTCTCCCCAATTTCGTCATATCCAATTGGTACTTACAATCTTCTCTCATTGCTGCAACTCCCCAATGGGCTCGCGAGAGAGGCGAAGGTCGAGACATGCGTCCTCCGAAAACATTACCAGCCAAGCTGCGCTACTTCTTTACACACTGATCGCTTAACCCGGAAGCCAACCGCACCAATATGTTGGGGGAAACACCGTTCCCAGCCTGCCACAAGGAGTCGCTAGAGCGCAATGAGCCAAGGAAAGCCCCCCGGCCAAGCCCTACCCCAACCCAGACGGCGCTGGGTCAATTGTGTGCCACCCTATGTGGCTCCCGCTCACGGCCGGCTGTGACACAGCCTGCGATGCAGTGCCTTAGACCACTGCGCCACTCAGAGGATCCCACAGCCCTTATTTTAAGTGTTTCTAAAATCCCTTATGGGAAAAATGAATGGTGGAGATACAATTAGAACAATTTCCCTGTTTGAACGCTAGGTTTTATAGGTATTATGACACCTCCACTGTGGGGCTGTATTGGAATGAATGGAATTCTACAGTACTTCATTTAAATGTTTAAAGGACAAAATTACATGTATGTAAGTATTTTTGTTGTTGTAGTGGGGACAGTAACATTAATACTTAAAAGAAATGTGTCTGTAATAGAATAAATGTTGTAAAAACAAATTGAGACATTAGCAAATGCATTTCTATAGCTTCCAAAATATTTTTTTACAATGGTAGGAGAGTGCCAGATGGAGGATCGGTGACTCAAAACAGCGCCCCCTGTCAGTCATCTAGTGTATATATATATATATATATATATATATATAAATCATTTGTCCCTCCCTGGTAAAATGCCTTCATAGCTCAGTTCTGAGCTTCTTTCACTGGCATGTAGCCAGAGGGCTCTATTGCCATTGAAGAAGACAGGAGAGACATCTCCTCCAACAGCTTGCCTGGATGACTGGTACTAGTACTGGGTCCCAGGGATGGAACCAACTCCAACCCAGAGAAGGTGAAGGGTAATTGGGGTAAACCTTCCAGCGGGAATGGTAAGGGGGTGGAACAGAATGAAAATATATTGTTAGTGGTAATAAGAGGGATATGGTTGAAGGCAGTCGCAGTAGGCCCGACCGCATCCTCCACGCTTTCTTGACTTTCCTGATCCTCTCCCCCACTCCTGATGCCTGAATCTGGGCTCTGGAGGGCCAGGAGTTGGGCCTGGAGCTGGAGCTTATCCACACGTTCATAGGAGGAAGACATTGTGAGAGAACCTCCTCCAACCCCCATATCTGTACCCTTTCCCCCTACACTATCCAACCTAGGGAGGGTGAATGGTAGCTGGGGGAAAGCGGACAGGGCAGTAGGTAAGGGGGTGGAGCAGAATGGAAAGTTATTGTTATTACTAAGAGGAAGAAGCGGAACAAGATTGAAGCCCTGAGAGACAAAATGGGGGAGGGTTGACGTAGGCCCGTCCGCCTCCTCCACACTCTCCTGACTTTCCTGATCCTCTCCCCCACTGCCGATGCCTGAATCTGGGCTTATGAGGGCCTGACGCTGGGCCTGGAGATTCTCAACACGCTCGTAAGAAGAAACCTGGATGATATCTTTACCTCCACAGATGCCTCCAAATATACCTCCACCCCACATCTCTCCATCCTTTCCTCCACCCCCCCATCTCTCTATCCTTCCCTCCACCCCCCATCTCTCTATCATTCCCTCCACCCCACATCTCTCCATCCTTCCCTCCACCCCCCATCTCTCTATCCTTCCCTCCACCCCCCATCTCTCCATCCTTCCCTCCACCCCCCATCTCTCCATCCTTCCCTCCATCCCCCATCTCTCTATCCTTCCCTCCACCCCCCATCTCTCCATCCTTCCCTCCATCCCCCATCTCTCCATCCTTCCCTCCACCCCACATCTCTCCATCCTTCCCTCCACCCCCCATCTCTCTATCCTTCCCTCCACCCCCCATCTCTCCATCCTTCTTCCCTACACCACTATCCATCCCTTCTCCTCTGTTCTCCTCCTTCCTCTCTTCTATCTCTTTAGTAGTGCCACCTACTGGTCCGTAAGGGGAGTGTACAGAGCAGGGTTCCAGCTTGGTGGAGGAGGATCCAGGCCGGGAGCAATGAGATAAAAAGTTGCTGCAGTTGGTGAAGCTGGAGCTGGAGAAGTGGCCACTGCTGTCCCATCTCTTCTCCAGTAGTAGCGGAGTGCCGGTCTCCCTCATCAGAGGGGCGATGGTGTCCATGCTGTTGGTAATCTCTACCTGGGAGATGTCTTCATGGTGCAAGGCAGAGTCAACGGATTCAAAGGCGAACAAAGGACCCAGCCAAGCCTGTAGACACACACAGAGAGAGAGAGAGAGAGAGAGAGAGAGGAGAGAGAGAGAGAGAGAGAGAGAGGAGAGAGAGAGAGAGAGAGGAGAGAGAGAGGAGAGAGAGGAGAGAGAGACAGAGAGACGAGAGACAGACACACAGACAGACAGACAGACAGACAGACAGACAGACAGACAGACAGACAGACAGACAGAGAGGCTGATAAGGTGAGGACGGCATTGTTTTCCGACAGGTGGCTTCACTCCTACATGATGCTAATGTAAGACAATGGTGAGGACAGCTCATAATAATGTCTGGAATGGAATTAATGGAAAGGTATCAAACATGGAAACCACAGTTGAAGTCGGATGTTTACATACACTTAGGTTGGAGTCATTAAAACTCGTTTTTCAACCACTCCACACATTTCTTGTTAACAAACGATAGTTTTGGCAAGTCAGTTAGGACATCTACTTTGTGCATGACACAAGTCATTTTTCCAACAATTGTTTACAGACAGATTATTTCACTGTATCACAATTCCAGTGGGTCAGAAGTTTACATACACTAAGTTGACTGTGCCTTTAAACAGCTTGGAAAATTCCAGAAAATGATGACATGGCTTTAGAAGCTTCTTATAGGCTAATTGACATAATTTGAGTCAATTGGAGGTGTACCTGTGGATGTATTTCAAGGCCTACCTTCAAACTCAGTGCCTCATGGGAAAATCAAAAGAAATCAGCCAAGACCTCAGAAAGAAAAAGTGTAGACCTCCACAAGTCTGGTTCATCCTTGGGAGCAATTTCCAAACGCCTGAAGGTACCACGTTCATCTGTACAAACAATAGTACGCAAGTATAAACACCATGGGACCACGCAGCCGTCATACCGCTCAGGAAGGAGACGCGTTCTGTCTCCTAGAGATGAACGTCCTTTGGTGCGAAAAGTGCAAATCAATCCCAGAACAACAGCAAAGGACCTTGTGAAGATGCTGGAGGAAACAGGTACAAAAGTATCTATATCCACAGTAAAACGAGTCCTATATCGACATAACCTGAAAGGCCACTCAGCAAGGAAGAAGCGACTGCTCCAAAACCGCCATAAAAAAGCCAGACTACGGTTTGCAACTGCACATGGGGACAAATATCGTACTTTTTGGAGAAATGTCCTCTGGTCTGATGAAACAAAAATATAATTATTTGGCCTTAATGACCATCGTTATGTTTGGAGGAAAAAGGGGGTCGCTTGCAAGCCCAAGAACACCATCCCAACTGTGAAGCACAGGGGTGGCAGCATCATGCTGTGGGGGTGCTTTGCTGCAGGAGGGACTGGTGCATATTACAAAATAGATGGCATCATGAGGAAGGAAAATTATGTGGACATTTTGAAGCAACATCTCAAGACATCAGTCAGGAAGTTAAAGCTTGGTCGCAAATGGGTCTTCCAAATGGACAATGACCCCAAGCATACTTCCAAAGTTGTGGCAAAATGGCTTAAGGACATCAAAGTCAAGGTATTGGAGTGGCCATCACAAAGCCCTGACCTCAATCCTAAAGAAAATGTGTGGGCAGAACTGAAAAAGCGTGTGTGAGCAAGGAGGCCTACAAACCTGACTAAATTACACCAGCTCTGTCAAGAGGAATGGGCCAAAATTCACCCAACTTATTGTGGGAAGCTTGTGGAAGGTTACCTGAAACGTTTGACCCAAGTTAAACAATTTAAAGGCAATGCTACCAAATACTAATTGAGTGTATGTAAACTTCTGACCCACTGGGAACGTGATGAAAGAAATAAAAGCTGAAATAAATCATTCTCTCTACTATTATTCTGATATTTGACATTCTTAAAATAAAGTGGTGATCCTAACTGACCTAAGACAGGGAATTTGTACTAGGATTAAATGTCAGGAATTGTGAAAAACTGAGTTTAAATGTATTTGGCTAAGGTGTATGTAAACTTCAGATTTCAACTGTATGTGTTTTATCTGTTTGATACCATTACATTCATTACATTCCAGCCATTATAACCTAACTAAGTATATAGCCATTACAAAGTAGTGCACTATATAGGGAATAGGGTGACTTTTGGCACATGACTTCAGTCAAAAGTAGAACTGACCTTGAAGTTTCCATCGTGATCGAGGTTGAGGCCGTCAAAGTACCTGGAGGGATCTGGTATAGGAGGATTCAGAATCTCCTTGACCCTGTCAGCACTGAACAACATGAAAGGAAGTTGCAGTTAACCAACTACAAAACATGAAATCACATCAAATACATGATGTTTACTTTGCAGTCGGTTGGTTTTAAAATACATCACATTTACTTTGAATTCCCCTCTATTCCAAGCTTACCTGGTCACACACACACACACACACACACACACACACACACACACACACACACACACACACACACACACACACACACACACACACACACACACACACAGTACTCACAATTTTCCGTTGCAGAGGAACATGGAGACCAGCAGGACCAGTACAACAACAGCTCCCACCACAGTTACCACCACAAAGTCCTGGTCTAGAACATCAGGATGACCTGAGAACCGGACCAGATGAACGACATACTTATAATATACATAGAACATACTTAGAACTTACATAAGAACACCACTATCTGACCTATAGATTGGCATAGAAGAGCATTCATTGTCATTTCTGTCTGTACGTTTGTTTTGTTTTGAACATGTGTCTGCCTATCTAAGAATGAAAGAACGAAATAGGGAAGGAAGAAGAAGAAGAAGAAGAAGAAGAAGAAGAAGAAGAAGAAGAAGAAGAAGCTATTTTTCAAGACTAATATGGAAACACACTACAATGCCTGCATTCCAAATGGCAACGTATTCCCTATTTAGTGCACTACCTTTGGCCCAAATGTAATGCACTATGAACATTGTAAAACATTTCCAGTAATTTTTACAGTAAATTACTGGCAGCGCAGTAGTCAGTAATTTACTGTAGATTTACAGGAAAAGGCTTTTAGATTTGAAAAAAATCTGTATAGTATGGTATTCTGTGGGGTGGTACTGAATTACAGTAAATTACTGGCAGATTTACAAGACAAATACAAACAAAAACGGTATGGCACTGTATTCTGTGGGGTAGAACATTCTCATTAAGGGGTGCAACAAAAATGGCCTCTTACGATGCATTACTCAAAATATGTTAACGAGACAAATATTATTTCAACACCACAACAGTTTCCCACAATGCACCATAATTCGTAGTAAAACAGGTCAAAACAGGTCATACAGTAATTTACTGTAAAATTGTATGTAAAATTAATTTTACAGCAGTGTAGCGGAACACCATTGAGACCCCATAATGCATTGCTCTTTACAGTACTGTAATATAGAATTACAGTAGCTAACTGAACGTTTTGCTGTACATTTACAGCAATTTGTTACAGCGTACGGAATAGGGTGCAATTTTAGTGCACTTTGTAGGGAATAAGAGGCCATTTGGGACGCAGTTGAAGTATATATAGTATATATAGGCCAAGTATACATAGGCGGCAGGTAACCTAACGGTTAAGAGCGTTGGGCCAGGAACCGAAAGTTTGCTGGCCCCCCACACCATCTGATTCAGAGGGGTTGGGTTAAATGCAGAAGACACATTTCGGTTAAATACATTCAGTGGTGCAACTGACTAAGTTTCCCCTTTCCCTCATTCAAATGTATACGAATGACATCACTGATGCTGTATTTACCTGTTGGCTGTGGCTTTGTCTGGCCCATAGCGGAGACCCATGATGCACTGGGGCTCCAGTTGCTCCACTGAGAGTTAGGGTACTTGTCTGGGTCGGCTCGGACCCTGACTCTGACTTGGTACCTCCTTCCTGTCTCCAGCATCTCAGGGTCCAGGTCAAAATACGTCTGTTTGTTTACTCTGTTCACCTCCACAGCATCCTGCAGTAGTACAACATACAGTAGGTGTACTTTTAGATATTGTACAAAGCGATGTGCACTCTTTCACTGTATTCTCTCTTTCACTGTATTCTCTCTTTCACTGTATTCTCTTTCATTGTATTCTCTCTTTCACTGTATTCTCACTTTCACTGTATTCTCTCTTTCACTGTATTCTCTCTTTCATTGTATTCTCTCTATCACTGTATTCTCTCTTTCACTGTATTCTCTCTTTCACTGTTTTCTGTCTTTCACTGTTTTCTCTCTTTCACTGTTTTCTCTCTTTCACTGTATTCTCTCTAATCTCTCCCCTTTCCTTGTTGTCATTCTCTGTCCTCTGTCTCCCTTTCCTCCCCCTTTCTCTCCCCCCCCCCCCCTCCCTCACCTCCCAGTGATGTAGTTCCTGTTTCCACTGTAGCTCCTTCTTGTCATTCTCTGTCCTCTGTCTCCCTTACCTCCCCCCCTTTCTCTCTTTCTCCCCCTCCCTCCCCCCTCTCCCTCTCTCACCTCCCAGTGATGTAGTTCCTGTTTCCACTGTAGCTGGAAGTTATAGTTGAAGATCATTTTTGAAATGGGAGCTCCTGGTGTCCATGCGATTGAGGAATTAGTGATGTTTGGCTTGCCAGGGGGGTGCATCTTAACTGCCAAAATACAAAACAACACAGTTAATGTAGTCGTAGTAGTACTAATATATTACTAATATAGCACTAATATCACTATAACAGAACTACTAGTACTAAGTTGAATTAGAAGTGTTAGTATCAAGTATGAAATAGTATTAAATTGAATCAATTAATACGCTTTCCAGCATTCTTGTATTACATTATGCTGTATTATAGTGTATTGAGTTTGTGCATTTTGTATGCTGACAAAACCTCATAAAGTATCGTATCGTTGTACTTGGTGTACAATTAGTAGTGTAGTAGTAGGTTAGTCATAGCTGACATTTCGTACACAATAGTACTTCGACCTTTGGCCTCCAAATACTGTACACTTACTGTGGTTAAATGGTTGATACGTGTACTTAATCTGAATCACATAATCTTCTGGTTGTCCACACCGTACACCAATGGGTATTTTATCAACGTCCCAAAAGTACTGAAAGACAATTTACAGAAGTTCAGTTATCCAGGGTTGGTTGTCTATTGGTCTATATATATGCTGTCATTGTTTTATTATTATTATTATTATTAGGAAAAACTTAATAATTAATTCATCCAGATTAATGTGTTATATTCATTTTATTACTTGTATCATCTGTTATTAAAATACTTAGCATCTATAATAATGCATATATATAACCAATCATTGGTTTTATAAAACTCACTGGATTGCCCTCAAAGACCAGACTGCCGCCTCTCAAAGCTGTGTTGGAACCGCCCAAGGACTTCATCTCACATTGACTGTAGTTAAAACAGTGAACCATTGTTTCAGTTAGCGTCTCAAATGGCACCCTATTCCCTATATATTGCACTACTTTTGACCAGGGTCCTATGGGAATAGGGTTCCAGTTAGGGTGCATCCTTAGTCTTCTTTACCTTTCAAACCCGGGGTGTTTACCATGCAGAATGCATGGCATGTCTGGGGGCACGCATGTGATGTTCAACACACAAGTGATGTTACTGACGAAGTCATTGACACACTGCAGACCTATGAGAAACAGAGAGAGAGAGAGAAACAGAGAGAGAGAAGAGAGAGAGAGAGAGAGAGAACGAGAGCGAGAGCGAGAGCGAGAGAGAGAGAGAGAGTGAGAGAGAGAGAGAAAGAGAGAGAGAGAATAAGAGAGAAGGTTAATGAGAGGAGAGGATGGGCGAAATAGAGGGGAAGGGAATTGAGTGAGGAGAGAAAAGTGAAGAAAGGGGAGAAAAGTTAAAGGGATGAGGAAAGAGAAACAGAGAGAGAAGGGAAGAGAGAGAAGAGAGAAGAGAGAGAGAGAGAGAGAAAGAGAGAGAGAATAGAAGAGAGAGGAGGTTTGGGCGGGAGCCTTTTGGGGTTTTTAATTCGGAGTTCCCGGTAGGCCCTTGGAATTGGGGGGGGAAGTTGGGGCGGGGGAAAAGGCCGTGAGAGGAGGCCAGGAGAAGGGGGAGCCCTGAGGGAGTGAGGGGGGAAGAGAGGCGAGAAGGGGGAAAAAGTAAAGGGGGAAACGAGCGAGAAAGTTAGGAGAGAAGGGGGACGGTTGTTTTGTTGGTGGCCCCCGGTTTAACGGCGGGAAGATGGGCCTGGAGGGGGCCCACAAAAGAAAAGGTTAGATGAGGGGCGCGTTGGAACCTGCCCCGAGACAGGGGGCCCGGGGGCGGGAGGAGGGGGGGGGGGTGGGATGGGACGGACCCGGGGGGGGGGAAAAGGGCGCGGCAGCGCGCGCGCGCGCGCGCGCCTCTCCTCACACCCACTGCCCGCGCTCCCGCGGCTCTCCATGTTTTTTTTCTCTATCTTTTTTCTTCAGATTTTTCAGTGGATGCTGCAGCACCCTCAGCACCCCTACTTCATGCAGCTATGGATACAAACCATTATAAATGTGCTTGTAATGCATTATGATGAGAGTTTTGATGACTTACAGGGCTGTGGTTGGCTGGAGCAGGTTAGTAGGGGGAGGAGCTGGATGACATACAGTGAGAGCAGAGGGAGGCGGAGACACCATAGAACCTCCATTATGACTTCCTCCTTGTCCTTTTTCTCATTCTAGAACACAGTAGGAGACATAACCTTAGCAACATATGACAGTGGCGTAGATATTGTTCCAAATGGTCAAATGGTACCCTAAGAAATAGGGCACTACTTTTGACCAGGGCTAATTGAGCTCTGATCAAAAGTAGTGCACTATGTAGGGAATAAGGTGCCATTTGGGATATATAACAGACTGAAGCATAAGTGAGAAGAAAACGTGTAAATGAATTTTCTATGTCTGTTTGCGTGGTGTGTGTTTTCCATGAAAGTAGATTAAGTGTTATCAGTTTTACAATAGCGACACACGCACGCCAGTGGCGATTTTAGCATGTAAATCTTGGTGGGGCAAACTCAACCATTTTTTCCTTTACGCGTGGCAGTAAAGCCACTGCACAACATTTTATTATTTTATTAGGCCTATGTGTTCTAAAAAGTAAGAAAAATACAATCACTAGCATCCACTTTTATATACCATATACCGACGCACAGACTGCGCTTTGCGCACACAAAACAACCCTCGCAATATCAACTGGAATTACATGGGTCTATTACTGAACTTTTTGTTGAAAAAAAACTACTATTTGAATGAGAAGAGACTGTCACTGGCAAACATGGTTACAGACCCAACAACATTATATAGTATCCCCTCCTCGTGAAGAAAAGCACATGAGCTAATTATAATACACAAAGTAAGCAAAACAATGAAATCATTCCAACATTGACTGAAATGATGAATAAGATACTGTACTAAGGAGATAGACCTATATAAGCAATATAACAATTGGGATATACAAACTATGGCATAAGGGAACGATGAGCGGATAAGAGGCAAGCCGTAATTTCGATTAAAATATGAATGCGCCAGTAGTCGATTTAAGTATTTGTTCAGCACTTTTGAAATGTACAGGACAAAATTCAGAACATGGGCCGTTCTTACAGTATTCTCCCTGTACACCAAGTCAGAACCGTAGGATAAATAATGGGGGCATATAACCAGACAACGAAAGCGCTTACAATATTCGATGCAGACATTTCTCTAAAACAGGCTATAGGCTACATGTGCACCACCAAGTCAGAACACTAAGCTAAGTTCTGAGGGGGAGAGGGACGAAATTCTTAGGATGAGACACATGGGCTACTAACAGCTTACTACACAACATACACTTAGTTTTACTTTCTTAGCTACTGCATACATATCTCCCTGGCATATTCCATAATTTATGCAGCAGTATACAAGACATATCTTTGGATTTACCATTGTTGCGCTGTCTTCACTTGAACGTGGCGCAGCGGTCCTTCTTGTGGGCAAACTTTGTCATCAAACTTTGTAACACTAACAGTTAGCCAATTATTCTTTCCAAACCACTCAATGTTGAATTTGCAATTTCCGACTTGTTGTGTAATGTTTATGTCCAATGGCCAATGAGCACCAATAAGTTGTATCTATATTTTCTCTTCATATGACAAGGATTGGAAAGGACTTGCCAGTAGATTGTCAAGGTGATTCATGATGATGACTGTTTGTCAAGCTTGCTAGCTAAGATTGTGAAAGTATGATGTTGACATGATCAGTCCAATCAAAGCTACAGTAGATATAACATGATTTGACATTTTTTCTGTGGCCAATGACCTTGAGCCTTCTTTGAGGGGCACTTGTAATTTAAATCTATGGCAGCACCCAAGAGGGCTTGAACTGCCTAGCTCTCCCTGTAGATTCAGCGGTGACATAGTGTCTCCATGAGTGACAGAACACTGAGCCAATCAAGGCACAACTAGAGAAAATTACCAACGCCTATGCTATGTGCTTTCGCTGGCTGCCCCTACACCACAGAAAGCACTAAGCTAGGCTGAAACACCTGCATTTTAGAGCTGCCTTACTCAAGAAAGAGACCAAGGAAAACATGTATTTTTATATTGTTTGCAAACTGATATGTGATACAAATGAATGTACAAATAACATGCAAAACAGGCAACAACAAAAAAGGACAAAAAAAGTATATACATATATATTTTTGGTTAAACAGGTGGGCTCTGCCCCAACTGCCCTGAATGACAGTTCGCCACGTCCCATGCACACACAGTGAAAGCCACTGTAACGCATATCAGTAGACATTAATGTTATTTGCTTAATACATGTTATTAACAAAGTTGCATTTGTTTTAACCAACCTTTCTTACACACTGGTGTGCCAGTAACAAGCCAAGCACAAACTTAAACATATTATTCATATTCATGTTATCCGCCACCATGGGGCACTCTGTTCACAACGTTGACATCAGCAAACTGCTTGCCCACACAACGCCATACACGCTGTCTTCCATCTGCCAGGTACAGTTATGACGCCGAACTGCAGTCAGGTCAAGATCCTGGTGAGGATGATAAGCACGCAGATGAGCTTCCCTGAGACAGTTTCTGACAGTTTGTGCAGAAATTCTTTGGTTGTGCAAACCCACAGTTTCATCAGCTGTCCGGGTGTCTGGTCTTAGACGATTCTGCAGGTGAAGAAGCTGGATGTGGAGGTCCTGGGCTGGCGTGGTTACACGTGGTCTGTGGTTGTAAGGGTGGTTGGACGTACTGCCAAATTCTCTAAAACGATGTTGGAGGCAGCTTATGGTAGAGAAATGAACATTACAATCTCTGGCAACAGATCTGGTGGACATTCCTGCAGTCAGCATGCCAATTGCACACTCTCTTAAAACTTGAGACATCTGTGGCATTGTGTTGTGTGACAAAAATGCTCATTTTAGAGTGGCCTTTTATTGTCCCCAGCACAAGGTGCACCTGTGTAGTGATAATGTTGTTTAATCAGCTTCTTGATATGCCACACCTGTCAGGTGGATGGATTATCTTGGCAAAGGAGAAATGCTCCTTAACAGGGATGTAAACAAATTTGTGCACAAAATATGAGAGAAATCAGCTTTTTGTGCATATGGAACATTTCTGGGATCTTTTATTTCAGATCATGAAACATGGGAGCAGTACTTTACATGTTGCAGTTACATTTTTGTTCAGTATATATATAGCTTCCATAGCTATACATGGGCAGTGTTCTGTTTGCTACCATTCTCTCATGTGGTGTTTTTTAGTAAAAGGTTAGAGAGACTCCACTCCTCTTTTATATAAACAACCACCTAATAGGTACAAGATGTGTTGAGAGGGCGAAGAAGAAGAAGAAGAAGAAGAAGAAGAAGAAGAAGAAGAAGAAGAAGAAGAAGAAGAAGGTGATGATGATAATTAATGAACTGGATGATATGTTAGTGCAGGGCTGGAATGAAGACGTGCACACCCTGTGTGGCTATAATGATTCTACAAGGAATACCAGAACTGCGTAAAATTGGTAATTCCTTTGAACTGTTTGTAACAAATTCATAGGTGGTTGAAGGTTGCGCAAGAGCAAAATATTTATATCAGAGGAGGCTGGTGAGGGGAGGATGGCTCATAATAATGCCTTGAATGGAGTTAATGGAATGGTGTCAAACACATGGAATCAATGTGTTTGATGTGTTTGATACCCTTCCATTAATTCTGTTCCTGCCATTACTATGAGTCTGTCCTTCAATTTAAAGTGCCACCAGCCAGCACTGGTTTATGTACATTGTTAGCTGTGAAGCCTTGTGATGTCGTGTTCGCTGTCAAATGTACCAATAGTCCTGTGTGTCCCAATTCAGGGCTTTCCTGCCTTAACCTGGTAGCCTGGTCCCAGATCAGGGCTTTCCTGCCTTAACCTGATAGCCTGGTCCCAGATCTGTGAGTTGGCATGACATTACAAACAGCCTGGCACTCAGGCTACTGTCCTGGGCCTGTATTCATAAAGCCTCTCAGAGTAGGAGTGCTGATCTAGGATCAGTTATGCCTTTTAGGTCACAGTGACATAAACAGGGGGGATCTGATCCTAGAACAGCATTCCTACTCTGAGATTCTTTATGAATACTGGCCCTGATGGTCTTTGTCCCCTCTCATTGGTCTCTGGGTCAGACATCAGGAAGTTCCCTTCAGTGAAGTGAAACAGCACAGTAGACAATATCAACCTCTGAGAGATCAGTTTAAAGGTCAGTATCGCAGAGAAAGCAAACACGAAAGCAAGTGCATTCTTCATGCACACACACACACAAGCGCATTCTGCATGCATGCACATACACAGTACTCACGCACACATGCATACACACACAAACACATACACACACACAGGGGCTGCAGGTAAGAAAACCACAACGTCCTCGTTGCCAAGAATGTTTACAAGCTGTTTCCAATAACAAACAAACCGCAAACCACTAACACCCCCGTCCCCTCCTCCTCTCTTCTCTACCTCTCTTCTCATCCTCTCCCAAACCTCATACTAACACCCCCTCCCTTCTTCTTCTTATCATGTACCTCTCCTCACAGACACACATGGATTTCCAAACACGATTCTGTTGCTCAATAGTGTGCAGCGAATTCTACTAGATGAACAGCCGATATTAGCATGACATGCTGGCATTCAAAGAATACTACAGTTTTGACATTTCACATACTATAAAACTTTTTCAAATACCCCAAATGCCTACTATTTAGAATGCAACTAGGGGTGTTAGGACACGGCCACTCACTCACTCACTCACTCACTCACTCACTCACTCACTCACTCACTCACTCACTCACTCACATCTCGTCATCCACCCTCACCCTCCCCCCTCCCTATCTTCTCTCTGACTTCCTTTCTACCAACGCTCACTCCCTGACTCTCCCCTCCTCCCCCTCCTGTCTTTGACTTCCTCTGTACCTGTGGCTGTGTGTGTACATCCTGTCCTACTTAAACATTGGACCAAATCAACCCCTAGGTTACATCCTAAATGGCACCCTATTCCCTGTATAGTGCACTATATACCCTATAGGCCCTGGTTAAAAGTAGTACACAATATAGGGAATAGGGTGCCATTTGGAACGCACCCTAACCCCCTCCACAATGAGGACAGTGGTCTCAAGTTCAACCCTACTGGAGGCCCACAAGTTGTGCAGGGTTTTGGTCCAGCCCTATATGAACATCCTGTCCTACTAAACCCAGGCCCAAATCAGCTCCTAGCCCCCTCCGTAATGAGGCCCTAATCAACCCCTAGCCCCCTACACAATGAAGCCCTAATCAACCCCTAGCCCCCTACATAATGAAGCTCTAATCAACCCCTAGCCCCCTCCATAATGAAGCCCTAATCAACCCCTATCCCCCTCCATAATGAAGCCCTAATCAACACCTAGCCCCTCTGTAATGAGGCCCTAATCAGCCCATAGAACCCTCCATAATGAAGCCTTAATCAACCCCTAGCCCCATACACAATGAGCCCTAGACCCCTCCATAATGAAGCCCTAATCAGCCCCTAGCAACCGCCGTAATGAGGCCCTAATCAACCCCTAGCAATCTCCGTAATGAGGCCCTAATCAACCCCTAAAGGGTGTGCAGGGTTTTGGTGCAGCCCAGCACTAACACAGAACAAAAAGGCCTGCATATAGTACAGGTGTATATAAAATATTGAATATATATTTAGAAAAAGATATGCACAAAGCTTGAAAAAGTGATTCAAAGCCTGGGGTTCTCTGGGACCAGGATCGAAGAATACTGTCCTCATAGCCTAAACGTCTCAATGACCCCCAAAGCCTGGGGTTCTCTGGGACCAGGATCGAAGAATACTGTCCTCATAGCCTAAACGTCTCAATGACCCCCAAAGCCTGGGATGGGAGAGGTGTATGTAATATAGTAACAGCTCTGCTCTCTGTGTGTCTCTTCAATTATAATAGTCATCATCATCATCATCATCACTACCATGATCATGATCTCAACTGTGCAATAATGTGTCTTCCAAATTATCACTCAAACACAAACAATGTGAATTATTATGTGGATTACAATTAACTGACATATTTTGATAAATTTTTCATTAGGGCAAATCAAGTCTGACATTTTAAAGTGGAAATGACAAACGTTAGAAACCTTATTGAACCTTGAATACACTACAAGTTTGCATTTCCTACTGTGCAGGAAAATTCTCAGCAACAAAAGAGTGATTAAATGAAGATCCTACATCTGTATATAAATATTCAAAGAGAGCATCAGTCAAAGAGAGCCTTACCTTGTATAGTGGACCTTCTTGTAGTCTCAGAAACGCAGGCCTCTCTTAATGCTCTACAGTTGAGTTACTTTTCACTCTGAACTGAAGGACAAGACAAGTGCTTGAGGATGAATCAGTTTCTTAATTGGTCACCACAGGATGATTCAAACCAGTCAGGCATACAAGACTGTCACACTCTCATCCCGTTATTGACAAGAAAAACATCTGCCTGCTTTCTCTGAAAAGTAAATGAGTGAACAGAAAAGGAGAATTGCTGACTGAAAGGGGATTTCTGTGGCTTCAGTTGGTTTCAACTGAAACACACACGTCATCAACACTGCTACTTGTACTTGATTCCCTGTCAGAAGAGGGGGTGGAGTTTTAGTTGTTTTCTTTCGGTGTCTGTTCTTGTTCCTTTTTTCGTAAGCGTCAGATATTACTTCTGTTATTGTGAAATTTTAAGATGTATTTTTTTTATTCCTTTCTGAAAATAACAGGTGCAAAAGTTTTAAAAGTGACATGTGTGGAGTGACATGTGTGAAGTGAGAGTGAGACCACATAAGATGTTTTGCTGCCCTCAAGTGGATAAAGTATGAATAGAGTATGGCCTTGGAGTAACAAGTAGTTTATTTTCACAGGCTCTTTTCTCCTCCACAAGCAACTACGAAAAGAGACTATTTAACATGTAATGAACATCAATTTCAACCCTATCCAGGTGCTTTATCTATATAGCTAAAAGAGAAAGAGGTTTAATAGTTATTATAGAACTTATTTTTAATATCAGATACATACAAAAATTCAACCATGTTCTTAACAACTTAAAGATCACAGTGACATTACAACATTGACTGATATTTATATCCATATTTACTACATTCATATGACTACAGAATGTCTTAAGGTTTGTGTACGCATGTGGGGTTCAGCCCCATCTGTCTGTATGTGAGGACCAGACCCACACACTGTTTAGCAGAGATACTGGATTGTCCAGTGGGGCCACCCACTTCCCCTCGTGTTTTGAGGAAATGATAGTCCTGTCATTGTCTGGTGTGTGAATGATAAGGCTAATGAAAGAATGACTAACTGACGTGAATTCAAACTCCAACTGACCTATGACATCAGCATCCAAACATTCCCTTGTGATAGTCACCAACCCCCCTCTTGTCCAAACAGTAGGATACAGTTACCCCAAGACACTGACCTAAGGCCAGATTTACATTTCCCCTTTAGGATTTGGAGAGAGTACGCTGATCCTAGATCTGTGCCTACGGGGGTAAGGCAGTTTCTAACTATTGTCCAATAATCATCCAATCACAATGAGCTTCCTCCCCCTCATCCAATCAACATTCCCTCTCCCTCTTCCTCCCCCACTCCTCATCCAATCACACGTTCCTCTCCCTTCCTCCCTCTCATCCAAACACAGGGGAGTGTTTCCCGAACCCCACAGAGATCACATGCTCAGGCACGGCGCGGGTGTACCACTCGGACCACGCCCCGTCGTACACCGACACCCCAGGGTGCCCACACTCGTGGGCGGCGAGGGCCACATGGCAGGCAGTCACACCCGACCCACAGGACACGCAGAGCGGGCGGGAGAGGTCGACACCAGCCTGGGTGAACATGGTCTGGAGGACTTCACGGGGATGGAGGTGACCGGACAGAGAGAGGAAGGAGGAGAAGGGCATGCTGATGGAGCCGGGGATGTGGCCTGGCTCAGTATCTGAAAGAGAGAGGAGGAAGAGAGTGAATGGGTGAAAAAATAAGGACAAACAGAAGGAAAGGGTTAGTGCTGGTGGGTGAATCTCCCTAGTCTAAAAAGGCTCCCTCTTCCTGTGTCGTTTCCATGCCAATAGAGAATACTCAAGAGGTCAATGTCCCCAGCCGCAGAGACACTTATAGGCAGATGAACACTGAATATGTGAAGGAGCGCATACATAATGTGTGTGTGTGTGTGTGTGTGTGTGACACAACTTGAGAGGAAATAAAAGTACAGCCAAATAAGACCTTATCGCCACAGAGGTAAATTAGAACACTTAGAATGAAAAATGTGTGCACTCACTAACTGTAAGTCGCTCTGGATAAGAGCGTCTGCTAAATGACTAAAATGTAATGGCTAGAGCGTCACAACAAGGTAGATTAGAACACTTAGAATGGCTAGAGCGTCACAACAAGGTAGATTAGAACACTTAGAATGGCTAGAGCATCACAACAAGGGGTATGCTCTAAACTGGTACAATACCAATCAAGTGCAACAATCAAATCTACATAATTGTATTCAGACTACTACTATATGTTATGTGTCCACTCCGTTCACTACAGTGTGCATGCATGCATGCGTATGTGTGTATGGTACACAATGGTGCTGACAGATGTTCTGATTTATAACCCAACCTCCATGTTTGCTTATCAGCTTGTGCAAACAAAGGAGGCCTATGGCTGCGTCTGTAAACGTCATCTTGTGCAAATCATTGCTTCCTCTGTCCTCGTTTCCTCAATTCCACTCAAAGCTCATTGGAGGAAGAGGTCCGAAGGAAGGACCTTGGATCCTCTCCTCCAATGAGCTTTGGAGAGGAACTGAGGAAACAAGGACAGAGGAAGAAAGGATTTGACAGGCAGCAAGTAACATTTCAGACCAAGGGTGCATCCCAAATGGCACCCTATTCCCTACATAGTGCACTACTTTTGACCACAGCCCTATGGGCCCTGGTCAAAAGTAGTGCACCATAGGATGCCAATTGGGGATACAGCCAGTGTACGAGGAGGAAGTCACACACTCAGCAGCTCTGTGCCTCAGGATCAGACAAAGTCCTCATGCAGTAGATAACACACACCCATCATCATCATCATCTTCTTCTTCTTCGATCTCAACTTGCCAGCTGAGAGAAACTGGGTCATCTAACATGAGCAATCTGTCAGTCTATTGTGTTATTGATTTTGGGTCATCTCATGAGTGAGCTGATCAGTAGTTAGTCTAGGCCTATTGATTGTGTTATTGATTATAGGTCAAATGGGTTGTTGGTTATGTCCCTCACAGTTGGAACCCTTGGTCTGTTGACCTATCAGCAGCATTGATCAAATGCTAAATGTGCTACTGATAAGGTGACATGAGTAGGCCTCAGTACTTGAAGTTATGGCTAGTTATACACCGATTGTAGGCTACACCTTTATTGTGTTAATATTTTTTCTTTTTTTTTGCATAAAAAAATAAAATACTTTTTAACTCTGCATTGTTGGGAAAGGGTAACTAAGCATTTCACGGTAAAGTCAACACTTGTTGTATTCGGCACGTGACAAATACATTTTATTTCACCTGACACATTTACAGTGTGTGAAATAACATCCATGCACTTTCAGTGTGTGTGTGCTGCTCACTGTCTCTGGGTTCTGGATCCACCCCTTTGAATCTCCCCACTGGTCTGGCATCGACCACCTGAAATTCTTTACTATCCAGATTATCCAGGATGTCCTCGTACGTCTTCACCCAGGAGCGGTTCAAAGAGGCCCTAAACTCCGTCTGCTCGGGTCGGGAGTACCGGTCACTCACTGGAAGTCCCTCGTTCGCCCAGTTTTTGAGTCCTCCATTCAGAACCGATACAGAACTGTGGCCGAACACTCGGAACATCCACCAAACTCGGGGCGCAGAGAACGCGCCGAAATTGCTCGCATCGTAGACCACGACGTGCGTATCGTTCCCAATTCCCAAATTTCCAACATAATCTGCAAAAATGCGCTCCGATGGCAGCATATGATCTAGCGGAGAAGTTTTGTCGCAGCACTGGTCTATGTCAAAGAAGGCTGCACCCGGGATATGCCTCTTTTTGAATTCGCTCTTGGCGTTGCGCCTGAGTTTGGGTAAGTACCAAGACGTGTCCAAGACGCGGAGTTTGGGTCCGACCCGTTGGTCTTTGACGGCATCGAGAAGCCACTTGGACGCGACGATAGCCCTCGCTTGGAGCGCCATGGTAGAACGTGTAATTCCCGACGGTTTCAAAGGTGATACAGGTAGAACGAGATACAGTTTATATGGAGAGAGAGAGAGAGCTGTCCCGGGAGAAATAACACGCCCCCAATGCACAGCCTGTAGTTACAGCTGAAAGTGAATGGGGGCGTTACCATATGGCCAGCAGACATTCATCAAAATTCACAGCGAGGCAACTTTATATAAATTGCCTACTCGGTATTCCCGTCATGTTTTTTAATTTGTAATCTTTTATTTACAAAAACATACATAGACAAAAACAATAGACAACTTAACATTTACATACATTTCCACAAACATTAATGGCGTCACACTTGCTCAGACCCACATGTTCCCACCGTATCCACAACCAATTCAAATAGAATCAGATCATGAACTTTCTAAAGCATGTATTTGTATAAGGTCTAAATAATAATAAGGCTAAATAACTTCATAAGCATTACCTTATTTGTTTTCTATGACATGTCATAATTTTTGCAAAAGTGAAAGGTATTTTGACAACAATCCGGAACTATTTTGTGATGTGCACCTTGAAAATAGTTTTCACCCGAGTAGTTATCCCCAAACACTCTTCGCCGGATGTTGAACTCACATGTTATTTTTTACAGAAGCAAGATACTTTTGCTAGATTTGCTGGAGAAATCCTAACGTTTGTTCACATGTTTGTTATTTAAAAAGTAAAGTGCATATCAACATGTCGGCATCAATGATTCGGAAGGGACTGGAGTTGCTAAGCGATGACATAAAAGGTAAATGATCTACAGTAACCAACGTTTCATTAGCTAGCTGGGTCATTCCTATTTTGCCGTGCCTTTTCCGTCCCTAGGAAATATCAGTTCTTATTTAGTGTAAAATGTGCATTCCTAAAGGCTTTAAGTATAAGGTCGGGTACCTTTACCATAAAAACACACAAATATGGATTCTGAAAGGGAATTTTATGCATTTTAAACACTTTTTGTCAGTAGATGTAGGCGTTTTTGTCCCCAGGTGTTATTTATCAACTTCCACAAGAAATATAAGCCTAAAATCTTTAAAATCTTTCATCAATAACGTTTTTTCATGATTATTATATTTGTTATTATAGATTTTCTGTGTTTCCCTTATATCACTTTCCACCCTTTTTAGTTTGTTGTAATTCTCCGTTTAAGAAAACAACCCCTTCCTACAATGACACCACATTCAGGAAGTGTCATAATTTATTTGATGGGAAAACTATGGTGCAAAGCTAAATAAATACAAACACTCAGTTTTATCTATTTGTCCATGTTTCATGTTGTTAGTCTGTATGTCCAACTCATAAATATCCACCCTCTTAGGCGAAATATAAAATCAGAATGTTAAAATATGTTTGATAGAGAAGTTAAAATCCTGTTTCAGGTGTTCAGCATTATGCTAGCTCAATCTTGCTCATTCACAGAGCTATGGCTAATTTAGGATCAACATTTCAACCCTGTTAGGATTATGCACCTAACAAATTGGAAAATGCACCAAAAAATGTTCAAGTACTATAAAAAAAATAGGTTTGTGGTCCAAATGGCACCGCATTGTAGGAATGACCGAGCTAGCTATGTTAGCTTCAATGCAACCAAGAAAGTGTAGAGTCCAGCACAACGTAAAAACTCTCTTAGCTGCATCGAAGCTATAGCTATGTATAAAACACCACTGGCGCAGGTTGAGAGCAGTTTATGACAATTCAATTGGCATTCCAGACATAGATCTTTAGTCCTATTTATTGCAGATGAAAGACATACAGATACTTTGCATAATATAAATACCGTAATGTTACAACGTGAAAAAAAGGTGCATTTCATACGTGTTGTAGTGAGACCGGTCTCACTAGAACGCCTATGGAATGCACCTTTCTTCAAATAAAATTGTATTTGTCACATGCGCCGAATACAACAGGTGTCGACTTTACCGTGAAATGCTTACTTATGAGCCCTTACCCAACAATGCAGAGTTAAAAAGTAAAAAAAAAAAAATAAACATTTGCTAAAAGGAAAATAGTAGCTAACACAATGGAATAACAATAACAAGGCTATATACTGTTCAGGAGACTTTTGGTCCCAGACTTGGCACTCCGGTACCGCTTGCTGTGCAGTAGCAGAGAGGACAGTCTATTATTTGGGTGGCTGGAGTCTTTGACAATTGAGGGCCTTCCTCTGACACCGCCTGGTATAGAGGTCCTGGAAGGCAGGGATCTCGGCCCTAGTGATGTATTGGGCTGTATGCACTATCCTCTGTAGCGCCTTGCGGTCGGATGCTGAGCACTTGCCATACCAAGCGTTGATGCAGCCAGTCAATATGCTCTCAATGGTGCAGCTGTAGAACTTTGAGGATCTGAGGGCCCATGCCAAATCTTTTCAGCCTCCTGAGGGGGAAGATGCGTTGTCGTGCCCTCTTCACGACTGTGTTGGTGTGTTTAGAACATGATAGGGTTAGGGTTCACATTGTAACGTTACGGTATTTATTCTATGCAAAGTAGTGTCATCTGTGCTAACACTTCCTGGTCACCACAGTGTGCCTATTTACACGTGACCAGTGACCTATTACCCCATGTGAAACATCCCTAGACAGACCACATACACAACACACATGAGCACATAATATAAGCAGTCCAAAATGTCTCCTACACAAATGTCTCTCTTCTCCCTCTTTCTCCCTCCCTCCTTCCGCGGTGTCAGATGGTAGCAAGAAGCAGAAGAGCGCAGCCAAGAAGAAGCACACCCCGAGCAAGGCTGAGGTGATGGGTCTGGTGAGCTCTAACCGTCAGGGCGTCAGCAGGCAGGTCCGGCGGCTGCAGGGGCGTCTCGGTCCGGGGAAGAGCAAGGCCACCGTCAAAGACAAGAGGATCAAGTCTGCCGTGGGTGAGTGGCTCGACACGTTCAGAGGCACAACATTCTGTGCACTGTGCAGAAAAACAAACGCAATAATTAATGTAGGGATGGTCTGGTACATATAAATACAGTCTATTCATTCTATCGCTATGGTCTCTGTTCATTCTATTTCTATGTTCTGGTGGCTGTCATGCAACTAGCTAGAATGTTTGGTTTTTCTTGGGTTGAGGATCATGTTTTTCTCTTAGCTATTTGTTGACTTCAGGGGTAGTCCAGAGGTATTCAACTCTTACCCTATGAGGTCCGGAGCCTGCTGGTTTTCTGTTCTACCTGATAATGAATTATACCCACCTGGTGTCCCAGGTCCCAAAAAATTTGCAAATGTTATTGAACTAATTTTTTTCTGTTTTATTTCATTATTATTTTTTTTACAACAAACAAAAACATACATAGACAAAAACAATAAACAACTTAACATTTACATACATTTCCACAAACATGAATGAAATCACACTTGCTCAGACCCACATGTTCCCATCGTATCCACACCCAATGTTGTTTCTAATACTTGTAAGACTCTACCCCATATGACTTCAAATTGTGTTATGATGTCCCAGGTCTCTAAATCAGTCCCTGATTAGAGGGGAACAATGAAAAAATGCAGTGGAACTGGCGTGGAGGTACAGAGTTGCGTTTGAGGGATCTAGTCTGTCTGTGAAACTGGTGTCAGTGTACCAGCATCCTGGTCTAGTCCAGGGTTCAGCAACTAGATTCAGCCACGGGCCAATTTCTTTTCTTGAGCGGATGGTCAGGGGGCCGGAACATAATTACAAATAATTTGTAATTATGACCGCAAGAAGCCCAAACAGATATAATATTTGACTAAAACATAATCATTTCAAACCTTGCTTACATTTTGTATACGATCACAAACAGTATCTCTCTATTATATGTGGGAATACTTTGGAACTTGAAAATTAAAATCAGTTCGAGCTGATTTGCTGGTGTTTTTACAGTCTGATGTCCAATAATAAATGAAACACTAATCAAATCAATAGAGTCCCACGAGCCGGCCAGTTGAACCCTGGTCTAGTCTGTCTGTAAACCTGGTGTCAGTGTGTCAGCCTCATGGGCCGACTCCTTACCATCCTCTTTTGTCTCCATCTTGTGTTTCAATAGATTATGGATAGTCAGTCTGTGCGAACTCCTCATAGGGTCATATCATTTAGTGTCTGTCTCATGGACTTCGTCTTGACCTCTGAACTGTGATGTCATGTCTTTGTGTTTCCAGAGGAGTTCAGGAAGAAGCAGGGGAAGAGCCATCTGAGCTCCAACCTGCTGTACTTCCTGGGGACGGGCTTCAGAGCTACAGACTCCGACACTATGAAGGTAAGAGACAGTCTGACAGTTCAAATGTCATGCCCTCTAACTACTACTCCTACTACTAGTATGGAGGATAGTTGGTTGGGGTCTTTGGCTCCCGTCATGACTTTTGATTGATTTGGTAAAATAACTGCAGATACATCTGGGTCGTGTTCATTAGGGCACAGAACGGAAAAATGTTTTAACATTTTGCAACGGAAAGCAAATTTGGATAGATCCAGGTAGTCTCTTCCTGTTTCAGTCCATTTTTCTTCTGTTAAGTGCTTAATGAACGTGACCCTCTTATGGGTGAATCCCGTAGTCTAACGGATGATGATGATGATGATGAAGACTAATGCCTCCCTCTTATTCCCCTTCAGATCGTCAACCAGAATTCAGGCCGGCAGTCTCGCCACCGTCCGGACCGCACGGTCAAGAAAGCCCCAGAGGAGAAGTCTGTGTTCACAGAGGATGAGTTCCAACAGTTCCAGAAGGAATACTTTGGCAGAACTGTGGAGGAGGGGAACTAGACAGATTCTAGTTCCCAGAGACTTAAGGCTGCGGTCCGATTCCAGAGGTGTGCACTTCACACTCACTGTGGGATTGCTATCAGCATTGGCTGGAGGGAGTTTCCAGTTTTCACCATTGTTAAAGGCCCAATGCAGCCGTATTTATCTCAAAATCAACTAATTTCTGGGTAACAATTACGTATCTTACTGTGATTGTGTTTAATTAACATGATCAAAACGAAACAAAATAGCTTCTTAGCAAAGAGCAATTTCTCAAGCAATTATCTTGCCAGGACTCTCTGGTAGTGGTCTGAGTGGGGAGGGAGAAAACTAGCTGTTATTGGCAGAGAGGTTGGAGCTCTCTTATTGGTCTAGCACCTAATTTACCTCCTGGTTATGTCACCAGGCAGGCCAAAACTCCATCCCACCAAAAAAGGCTGACATGTTAGGTGGTCTTTTCAAACAGGTCTTACACTAAAAGGGTATTTTCACAATTTCACAGTATTATTCCAACCTCCATAGTGTAGAAATATATATAAAACAGGAAAATCACGTTTTGGACTGCACTGGGCCTTTAAATCCATGGGAGAATGTGGGCAAGTGCACACTTTGGGAGAAGGCTGGAGAATCGGGACAAAGACGAGGGTTCAGTTCCAGAGCCAATGAGGACTTGGTGAAGAGATCGGACACTTGACTGACTTCAGTTTTGGGCCTAACTACTTCCCTTTGGACTTGGAGTGTAATGCTGCGCTACATGGAAAACAAGTGACTTAAGTGGCTCATTTAAGCCTTGAGGCTCATTCCGAGCTTGTTCTATTCATGCAGGAGAAAATAGTAAACGTTCAGAGAAACAAAAGTAGTTTAAAACTTCATTTTCTACTTGTTAAAAAGATGAAATCACCATGAACTAGAGTATGCTGTTTTATTAAGTGAATTTTCAGAAAGTAAATGTCTTGTCCCTTTTGATTTGTAAACGATGAATAAAAGTATGTGGAACACAGTCATGTAGCCTACACAGACTGAAGCAGCAGTAGGGGTATGACGGTCATGAAATGTTAGTTAGCCGTTAACTGTCAAGCAAATCATTGCGGTGTCACAGTTATTTACCATTAACATGTTTTTAGCATCTCCGGTATACAAGCCGCTGATGTGTGTCTTTGGAACAGCTACATTTTAAACAGTAATAATTACATTTAATATTGACTCATCACAAAAATGATCCATTATTTAGTTTAGGCAGGTCTTAACTAAGAAACATAATGCAAATAAAATGTACTTCAAAAGAACAGAATAGCATATTCTAGCAGATGCTTTCATCCAAAGTGACATACAGTCATGCGTGCATACATTTTACGTATGGGTGATCCCGGGAATCAAACCCACTACCCTGGCGTTACAAGTGCCGTGGTCTACCAACTGATAGAATTTGAATACGGTGAATTATGAGCAGTGGTGGAAAAACGACCCAATTGTCACACTTTAGTAAAAGTAAAGATACCTTAATAGGAAATGACTCAATTGAAAGTCACCCAGTAAACTACTACTTGAGTAAAAGTCTAAAAGTATTTGGTTTTAAATTTACTTAAATATCAAATGTAATTGCAAAAATATACTTAAGTATCAAAAGTAAAGTATAAATCATTTCAAATTGCTTATATTAAGCAAACCAGACAGCACAGTTTTCTTGTTTTTTATTTATTTATGGATAGCCAGGGGCACACTCCAACACTCAGACATAATTTACAAATGAAGCATTTGTGTTTAGTGAGTCCACCAGATCAGAGGCAATAGGGTAGACCAGGGATGTTTTCTTGATAAGTGTGTGAATTGGACCATTTTCCTGCTAAGCATTCAAAATGTAAAGAGTACTTTTGGGTGTCAGGGAAAAATGTATGGAGTAAAAAGTACATTATTTTATTTAGGAATGTCGTGAAGTAAAAGTTGTCAAATATAAATAGTAAAGTACAGATACCCCAAAAAACTACTTAAGTAGTACTTTAAAGTATTTTTACTTAAGTACTTCACACCACTGATTATGAGGATAAATGGTGATAAATAATGATAATAATAATATGCCATTTAGCAGACGCTTTTATCCAAAGCGACTTACAGTGCATCATCTTAGTCAATTGTGTAGACTAGATAATTCCATTATGAATAGGCCCAACTCTCTTAGGCTGTGTTTACACAGCCGCCCTAAAAACCCAAATCGGATTTTCTTTCTATAGACAATATTTTTTTCTGAATGTCCACACTCAGTTTTACACGTGACCCATATCAGATATACACATTCACACTTTATGTAGCCTCTGAAGTAGCACACAGATGAAACGCTTATTTTCTGTCACTGTTCCTTTAAAATGTGGGGTGGTTGTCATGGTAACGACAGGTCCTGTGCCAAAAAAAAAACACTTCAAAGCAAATAAATCTGATCTGAGTGTCTAGACAGGTTGCATATAAAGTGCAATTAATAGTAGGCCTAATGGTGTCTTTTTGTAGGCACTAACTCTGCCATGCTGCATTTCACTACACTACAAGCATTTCGCTACACCCGCAAAAACATCTGCTAAATATGTGTATGTGACCAATAAAATGTGATTTGATTTTAACAAAGCCTATGGGAAAATTAATGGAGTTTTTTAATAAGGTCTGTGGAGATCTTATAAATTTTGTTCAGTTAGATAATCTTTCAGCCAACATCACTTTTTGTGAATTTTGAAGCATTTATGTAAAGGTCATGTTAACTGACTGATATCATCTCATAGAACTAAATGTATAAGATCTCCTGAGCCTGTCTTAACCTTAACCTTTCCCCATTAATTTTGCCCATAGGAATGGCTGAACGAACAAGAGGTAAATAAATTGTTTTTTAGGACTACACGCTGGCGAGCTCTATGGCAGACAAATTCTGATATTTTTTTCACTAATTGGTCTTTTGACCAATCAGCTCTGAAAAAGGATCTGATGTGAAAATATCTGACGTGATTGGTCAAAAGACCAATTAGTTGAAAAAAATATCTGAATTGGGCTGCCTGTGTAAACGCAGCCGTAATAGCCTACATGGCTCTGGATGGAAGTAGGCTAACATCATAACATTGGAGCGATAAAAATGGTGCACACAAAGTGAGGTCAAAGGCATCCCACTCCCACCCAGAGACATGTACTAAGAGGTGGGACATAGAGAATGATAGAGGCCTCTAGTGGCCAAAAGGCCGTTTTAGCATGGACAGCGCCATTGAGGGCTTCCACCATTTTAAAGTAGTCAACTGGGTGGGGATTCCTATTACCAATTATTTTGATTAAAGTAGTAGCAATGGTCATCGAAATTGTTACCACTTTTTACTTCATCTAATAAATGCAACAGTTGGACAATAGATGAAGATACTCCAAACTTTTTGAATTTTTATATTCAATCAGATATTGCCTGAATTATAGCACATCATTACTTGCATGGACAAACAATGGAGTTCAGGCATTTGTGGAAATTCAGGCAGGCCTATTCAATTTATTGTAACATCAGTTTTTTTTCTTCTTATAATACACTACGAACAATCTACAGGAGTGCATCAGGTATTTTTAGAAAATGAGGCACATTTTATCACAAAGTGGGGTTCAAAAATATTTGGACAGTTTCTAGTGTGAGAGATTTATTATTTTTTATAATTGATGGGATGACTAACTTAGAAAGAATGCATTCTTGACTGGGCTAATGTAGGTTGTGTCACCTGGCAAGCTGTGATTGATGTGAAGAGCTGTTTTAGGGGGTAAAATGAGATAAGGATTTGTGTCTCCAAATGCTAGACTATACTGGTTCTTTGTGATCTGTGAACCTTCCTTGGACGTAGGAATGGTGTCTAAGGGAGCTGGCTCTTCTCACTATGACAGGTTGTTATGATAAACGTATGCCTGGTAACAGAAGAGGCGGGGAACAGCCAGTGCGCCAACGGATAGGCTGAGTAAGTCTAAACCACGCTCAAGTCTCTACTCTGATTGGCCAGCAGAGAGGTGGGAAACTCTCTCTGTAAGAGTATTTGAAGAACAATCTGAAACAATGGATTTAGTTCTCTGAAGTGCCCTGCGAGGTATTTCAAAGAGCCCGTATATACGAAACATCATATTTACCATTGAAGGTTTTTGCATTAATTAAAATAACTAGTATATCTTAGAAGTCGTGTTGACCTCTTTTGTTCCTAATGCCAGATTTGAATTGACGCAACTTTGACTCTAGGTTACCATCCAATTGGCGACAGATTGCGCATTTTCCCACCAGTGGTTCCACCAAACAGACTTTTGGCAGATAAAGAACCGCTCTGTTTATTACAACCTCAACTAGCGGCTACCGAAGGTTCCTGATGTAACCCCAGTTCTATGAACCAAGCACAAATATTCTCTCTCAACCCAATTTCCAAATCGGGCTACCCCTAGTCTGGGAAACCCTGCATTAGTGAGACCAACTGGGATAAAAATGCAATGTGGGTGTGGACTGCCAAGGGTGCATTAATTAAGTCTGCCTGGGTTCAGTTGTGTATTAGAATGGCTACCCCATGTTTCATCATCAAATCTATTGTGAACCAAATTATTAAAAGACCAAAATAGATTTAGTCATGTTAATTTTGTTTCACATTTCGCAGAATCTCTCAAAGGGCCTTGTAAAAGTGTACCATATAACAGTGTTTCCCAACCCTGGTCCTCCAGTACCCCCAATAGTACACATTTTTATTGTAACCCTGGACAAGCACACCTCATTCAACTTGTCAACTAATCACCAAGCCCTCAATGAGTTGAATGAGGTGTGTTTGTCAAAGGCTACAACAAAACAGTGTACTGTTGGGGGTACTGACTTATAACAACTGACTCTGTAGTGTGTTATCAAGTTAATGCAGAAAGACCTGCTTTTCTAGGCACTGCCCTCCAAATAGTAGATTGATGCACACAAAGGAATGATTCTCTTCTATTGTGAGTGGAGAAAGAGGAAGTGTATGAGGTAAACTGTGCTTTGTGACAAGACAAATCTCCAGAGAAGTTCAGACAGGAGAATAGTTGTACATCTGTGATGGCAAAGGTAAGGGCTTTTCTGTATTTACCTGTGGAGTTTTGTGACTTAAGTGCAATTGATAAGCACAACTTAGAACTTCTTTAAGTCAAAACCAACATTGTGCAGCAACAGTGTTTGAAAGATGTTTGTAGTTCAGTTCTATTTTGTTTCACAATAAATGCGTTGTTTTGTTTTTAACACAATCCAAATGTAAAAAGTCAGATTGAAAGTGAAAGGTATGGAATGGCGAGGCTCAGTGTCAACAGCCGAAACATGTCTCGTCCAACTGGATAGACGAGGCAATTACATCCAGGGCTCGCTCTCCACTGCAAAATAAAACCAAACATATTTAGGCATATTTAAAACTATTGCATTGATAACATTATACTTAAGATAATTGAAGTGCCGGTGTGCATTACACATGATGCAAATTAGTCTGCAAGTCATCCGAGAAGGGTACAATTTGGCCCGCAATTCAGGTCATTCCTGCTTCTTGAACCCCTCTTTATACTTCTATTGTCCATATTTAAGCTAGGACTCCAGTACGGAGGCGCTGCAGTACAGTTGTTGGTGGAAATGTACCATAACGTTGGATGACAACCGCCAATAAACCCCACAGAAGAAGAGATGAGGGTAACAAGGCCGGTAGACAGTGTCTTTCGCCCCCACCTGTCGGGCACTGTTTTCCCGCAGTTCTGTTAACGACAACAAGGGCAGGTGTTAGCAAAGGACACTGGGTACTAGCTAGTTAGATACAAAGCAGGCGTGGTAGCTAGCTAGCTAACGTTCATGCAGGAACCAATGTGATGCTCGAGGTGGGAGAGGCGTTCCTGCATAGGCAGGAATGCCCACATGCAGGAACGCCCTGAATTGCAGTCCGCAGTCACATACTATTGAGTCATCAAGGAACAGTTATTGTTTGATGGGCATAACCAAAGTAAAGAATTATCCCGGGGGTGAATTACTTCATGGTTATGTATCGTGTGACTTAAAGAAGAAGTTATGGCAAGTTATTGAAATGTGGGTTTATGTTAAACCTTTGTCTATGACGTTATGATATGTTCATGGGAAATTATGCATTAATGGTAAAAATGTGTATTGGGGCTATCATGCTGGAACATTCCTAGTGGAAGGGAGTTCCTGGAAAGAGTACTTAGGTGCTCAGTTGGTCTTTGCCTGAAGGAGAGCAGGCTGGGTATGCAACAGGTTGGCTAGAGTAATCATACCTGAGTTTTATTATAGGCAAAGAGTTGTTTGTCCGATCCGCCGCCTCGGCTTCTGTTTCACACCCACCCATACATTCTCCCCCCACAGCCTCCACCTCTGGTGCCCCGCCCCAGGAACATCTGTATGAGCACGCCTGAGGAAAGTGAGCCCCAGAGGAGATGGCGCTACGGTCCCTCCTCTCCCTCAGACACATCCGGCTCAGCGGTTGGTGGTGGCAGGGTAAGAGACTGTCCATAAACATATGGATTGGATTCAACCATTGACAACATGGGACCTGGTCAAAAGAAGTGTACTATATAGGGGATAGGGTGTCACTTGGGATGCTATTCCCTATATAGTGCACCACTTTTGACACAGCTATTGACTTGCATTCCTTACTATTTAAACTGCAGTTTTAACTATAGTATGACTTACCTGACTTTATCCTCTTGGCCCCCGGGGGAGCGTAGGGCGTCCACCATGGCTCTCCACCACCTCACTCTCTTCTGAGGGACCTATGGTGTGAAATATATATTGACTTGAATTCCTTTCTATTTGAACTGCAGTGGTATGCTATGGTGTACACTACATAACTATGGTGTGAAACTGTGTTATTGTAAATGTGACTTCTTAGAACCCAGGCACGGCACAGAAGCCGCCCCCTGCGGCCCAGAATAAGTGGTCGGTGAGAAGGAGTCCTCCACAAGAAGAAGGTGGTTGTGACCCTCAGGATGTGTCTGAATTCATTAAGAAGGCATCTCATCTGATGCAGCAACACGCACTCTTCTCTTTAATTTGCTCTCATATACAGTAAGAGTGAATCCTAACACCCACCCATACATTCTTCACCCACTCCCCCCCCACAGCCTCCACCTCCAGTGCCCCACCCCAGGAACATCTATATGGGCAAGTCTGAGGAGAGTGTGCCCCAGAGGAGATGGAGCTATGGTCCCTCCTCTCCCTCACACACATCCGGTCCAGGGGTTGATAGAGGCAGGGTAAGAGACTGTCCATAAATCAATGGATTGGATTCAACCATTGACAACCAGCCAGGTCACCCGTAATACAAGTCAGTATTCGACGTCCATCCATGTCTGAGGACGTCGGGAAATTAAGTGGAAACGGCCACTAGGGGCAACAGTGAGCGACGTTACCTTCAAGTAGGTTACAGTTTTGCTAGGGTGTTGGGGATGGCAGATGGGCATAAGCATCTGCCTCTGATTCCAAAGGGCCAAAGGCTGCATGTTCGAATCCAGCGATAGAAAGTCGTTTTCTATATTTTTGTTTTAAGCCCATCTCAAACCTTAACCATTCTGAGTTAATGCCTAACCTTAAGAATTTGGAGTTAATGCCTAAACTTAACCTTAAACAATTCTAAATTTGACGTTTTGAAGAACTTCGAAATTTGATGTTTGAGAAACATGGATGAACATCTAATTCTGACATGAGACTGTGAGAGCTGGTAGTGACATGGGTCCTGGTCAAAACAAGTGTTATTATTATATTATTATAAGTGTACTATATAGGGGATAGGGTGCCATTTGGGATGCTATTCCCTATATAGTGCACTACTTTTGATGCAGCCATTGACTTGCATTCCTTACCATTTGAACTGCAGTTTTAACTATGGTATGACTTACCTGACTTAATCATCTTTGCCCCCTTGGGAGCATAGGATGTCCACCATGGCTCTCAACCACCTCACTTTCTTCTGAGGGACCTATGGTGTGAAATATATATTGACTTGAATTCCTTTCTATTTGAACTGCGGTGGTATACTATGATGTACACTATATACCTACCTACAGTGAAAAGAGTTTTGCTAGAAATTGAATGTTAATTGGGGAGAGATGATGTTACTGTGTGTTGCTAAATTACAGTGCCTTCAGAAAGTATTCACACCCCTTGATCTTTTCCCCATTTTGTTGTTACAGCCTGAATTTAAAACAGATTACATTTAGATTTTTGGGGGTCACTGGCCTACACACAATACCCCATAATGTCAAAGTGGCATCATGTTGTTCGAAACTTAAAACAAATTAATTAAAAATGAAAAGCTGAAAAGTCTTGAGTCTAAGTATTGAACCCCTTTGTTTAACATTATTATGACTACATAATTTCTGTACCCCACACATACATTCCCCCGGGACTGCTGCACAGAAGAAATATCAGCGCGCGCGCAGAGAAGCACGAGATTGAATTTCACCCAACTTTCTAGAGTTTTCCCTGTTAGTTAACACTATCAACATGTCCCTTTACTGTGGGAATTGTGATCGAATCAATGCAATATTAGCCACTTTCAATGCAACATACCGAAACACAACTAACTATGCAAGAGTAAATGGCTTGTTTTGAGATCAAGGCGAGAGGTACATGTGTGCACATTTGTAAATGTGTTCATATCCTTTGCTAGTTAACTAGTTATTATCCCAGTTATAGATAATTTGTAGTCAGCAATGGGGGGTGATTGCTTCCTACAAGAGCACAAAACGTGTGCATTTATAGACATCTTTGAAAAGCTAGCTTTTCTTTGTCTTAAAGGGGCAGTGTTGTATTTTGAGACAGGCTTGAATAAGCTAAGGAGCCAATAGGCAGAGGGTAGCATCACTGAGAACATTTCTGGTCTGCTGAGCGCAAACTTGAACATTAGAAAATTCTGTGCAACTTCCGGCGCACGTTTACTGTGAACACTAAGGCTGTACCCACTTTAGTTTTAACTGTGGTCAGTTAGGCTACTGTGGCTATTTGATTATAATGAAGGCCTACCAGAGTGGCCTACCATCAAAAACAATGGAGAAAATCTATCCCATAACATTTTAACATGAAAATTGCTGTTCTATCGTTCAGCCTACAGTAGCAGCTAATGTGTGGTGTTCAATGTAGGCCTACATTCCATGAGACTTTTGGACATTAACCTGTTCATCCACTTGTCCTTCAGACAAGGAGGTGACAGAAAATGTTGTTGTTTGATGCAAGAAACCACTTTACAAAATAAAATGCATCATTATTCCCATACCATTATTACAGAGAATCAGACCAATTATGCTGCCTATTGGCTACTTGGCTGCTTCAAGCCTGTCTCAAAATACAACACTGCCCCTTTTAAAGACAAAAAAAAGCTCTTTACCTGACTGGCTTTTCAAAGATGTCTAGAAATGCACACGTTTTTGTGCTCTTGTGGGAAGCAATCACTCCCCCATTGCTGACTACAAATGATCTATAACTGGGCTAATAACTCACTAACGAGCAAAGGATATGAACAAATGTACAAATATGCACACGTCGCTACATGTATCTCAAATCAAGCGCATCTATTCACGACCGCTTATGCTGTAAAAACAGTCCAGTTCAAAGTGAATGGCACAGATCCATATATGGCCATGGTTTGTTTGCATATAGGCCTACTGCAGCTCTGATTGGTTATGGCGCACGGGTCTGTGTAGAGGATGGGTCATGCCTGTCAATGCAATAGAATTCTACTCCGATGCATTCCGCCTACAACAAAATCTCTTGCATAGTTCGTTTTTGTTTCGGTATGTTGCATTGAAAGTGGCTAATGTTGCGTTGATTCGATCACAATTCCCACAGTAAAGGGAAACATTGATATTGTTAACGGGGAAAACTCTAGAAAGTTGAGTGAAGTTCAATCTCGTGCTTCTCTGCGTGGGCTGATATTTCTTCTGTGCTGCAGTACTGGGGGAGCAGGCATGCAGCTTAGAGGGAAGTACAACACATCACTGAGTACCACTCTTCTTATTTTCAAGCATGGTGGTGGCTGCATCATGTTATGGGTATGCTTGTCATCGGCAAGGACTAGGGATTTTTTTATAATAAAAATAAATGGAATAGAGCTAAGCACAGGCAAAATCTTAGAGGAAAACCTGGTTCAGTCTGCTTTTCAACAGACACTGAGAAACAAATTCACCTTTGAGCAGGACAATAACCTAAAACACAAGGCCAAATACACACTGGAGTTGCTTACCAAGACGACATTGAATGTTCCTGAGTGGCCTACTGTAGTTTTGACTTAAATGGCTTGAAAATCAATGGCAAGGGGTGTGAATACTTTCTGAAGGCACTGAGAGTACAAAACATTATGAACACCTGGTCTTTCCATTACATACTGACCAGGTGATTCCAGGTGAAAGCTTTGATCCCTTATTGATGTCACTTATTAAATCCACTTTAGTTAGTGTAGATGGCGGGGGGAGACAGGTTAAAGAAGATGTTATAAGTCTTGAGACAATTTAGACATGGATTGTGTACAGTACCAGTCAAAAGCTTGGACACACTTACTCATTCAAGGGTTTTTCTTTATTTTTACTATTTTCTACATTGTGGAATGATAGTGAAGACATCAAAAGGGGGGAGGGGGTGCAACTCAATATTAGGAAGGTGTTCTTAATGTTTTGTACACTGTATATAACTATGGTGTGAAACTTTATTGTAAATGTGACTTCTTAGAACCCAGGCACGGCACAGAAGCCGCCCCCTGAGGCCCAGAATAAGTGGTCGGTGAGAAGGAGTCCTCCACAAGAAGAAGGTGGTTGTGACCCTCATGATGGGGGGGGGAGTGTGTCTGAATTCATTAAGAAGGTATCTCATCTGATGCAGCAACACGCTCTCTTCTCTTTTAATTTGCTCTCATATACAGTAAGAGTGAATCCTAACACCCACCCATACATTCTTCACCCACTCCCCCCACAGCCTCCACCTCTGGTGCCCCGCCCCAGGAACATCTGTATGAGCACGCCTGAGGAAAGTGAGCCCCAGAGGAGATGGCGCTACGGTCCCTCCTCTCCCTCAGACACATCCGGCCCAGCGGTTGGTGGTGGCAGGGTAAGAGACTGTCCATAAACAAATGGATTGGATTCAACCATTGACAACATGGGACCTGGTCAAAAGAAGTGAACTATATAGGGGATAGGGTGTCACTTGGGATGCTATTCCCTATATAGTGCACCACTTTTGACACAGCTATTGACTTGCATTCCTTACTATTTAAACTGCAGTTTTAACTATAGTATGACTTACCTGACTTTATCCTCTTGGCCCCCGGGGGAGCGTAGGGCGTCCACCATGGCTCTCCACCACCTCACTCTCTTCTGAGGGACCTATGGTGTGAAATATATATTGACTTGAATTTCTTTCTATTTGAACTGCAGTGGTATACTATGGTGTACACTGTATAACTATGGTGTGAAACTGTGTTATTGTAAATGTGACTTCTTAGAACCCAGGCACGGCACAGAAGCCGCCCCCTGAGGCCCAGAATAAGTGGTCGGTGAGAAGGAGTCCTCCACAAGAAGAAGGTGGTTGTGACCCTCAGGATGGGGGGGGGAGTGTGTCTGAATTCATTAAGAAGGTATCTCATCTGATGCAGCAACACGCTCTCTTCTCTTTTAATTTGCTCTCATATACAGTAAGAGTGAATCCTAACTTTCACTTATGTCTAATTTTCTCTGTCTCCCATTAACATTGAACGTACAACTAAGTGGAAATTCGTCTTGAGTGGAAGTTAGGATTTGCATCAAAGTGCACTGTTCTCTGAAAATGACTTGAATATTATTTTTCAGTTTGACGCTAAAGAGGACCAGAACAAGCAACTGGTGGTGCGTCCTCCTCCTGGCCCGCCTGTTGTCGTTGACAGAGAGTACTCCAATCCCCCTCTCTATGAAAATGTTTTTGGATATGCAGGAAACTCGTAAGGTGAGATAAACAGAGAAAACAGATGTTTAAAACTAAGCTTAAATCAAGTAATCGTGTATTGGTTGAGTACACAGTTTAGCAGACGTTATAGCATGTACAGCTAAATGCTTATGTTACTAGCTCTTAACAATGCAGTATGTCAGACAAGTAAACAAATAATTTAAAAAACAATATATAAAAAAATCAAGAAATGTCTCCACGAATCCAATTAACAACCCAAATAACACTGTAACAGTAATCCAAATGCAATCTATACGTATGTACACCGGGATAATTTACACAATATACTAAGAATGACAGAGTACAGCAGTAGATATATTACAGTGAGCTATGTCAAGAATCCAGTATATAATAAATATGTGGTGTGTATAAACAGTGAAACTACAATGCAATGTACAGTAGTAGAATATTAAAATGAGCTATATGGAGAATACAGTATTAAAGCTTAACACTCATTTATTACTAATACTGTAATACCTGGTTTTCTGAGCTGTACATTGTTGTTCTTCCAGTTTGGGTCACCTGCTGTCGTTGACAGAGAGTCCTCCAATCCCCCTCTCTATGAAGAGGTTTTTGCTACGCAGGAAACTTGTACGGTGAGACAAGTAAAGGGATCACAGTCAGCCAGCTACAAATACTGTTTTAATGTTTTTTCCCATTATAGTTCAAGGGCTGGTTTCCCCAACCTTGACTCAGGGGTCGATGTAACATAGTAAACAAAAATCGAGGACACTCAAATTAGTTTATTGTTTGGTATGGTACGTATTATTTTGTGAATGTCCATCATCCACTTTGTATGATATGTTACGAATTACAATTCGTACAATATGTTACAAATTTGCAATACTTTTATATGTTATAGATTCCAATTTGTGGTGGCTAACGTTAGCTAGGCTAGGGGTAAAGGTTAGCTAACATGCTAACTAGTTGCAAAGTAGCAAGTAGTTGAAAAGTTGTCCATGAGACGATTTGAACACAACTTTTGGGTTGCTAGACATTCACTTTATACACCAACCCATCCATCCTCCTTTAATTTTTGCCATAAGTAACCTTCTGTTTTATGTAACCATACCAAACGTTGCATATCATATACATTTGAGTGTCCCTGATTTTAGTTTACAATGTTACGTCTAGTCTATGAGACCAGTCTGGTTTCCCAGACACAGATTAAGCCTAGCCCATGACTAAAAAGCTACTTTTTTTATATTTAGCATGCGCTCTTGTCCAGAGCAATTTAAAGTAGTGAGTGCATACATTTTCTCTTCATATTGGTCCCCCATTGGAATCAAACCCACAACCCTGGCATTGCAAGCGCCATGCTCCCGAGTGGCGAGGGGTCTAAGGCACTGCATCTCAGTGCTTGAGGCGTCACTACAGACCCCCTGGTTCGATTCCAGGCTGTATCACAACTGGCCGTGATTGGGAGTCCCATAGGGCGGCGCACAATTGGCCCAGCGTCGTCCGGTGTAGGCCGCCATTGTAAATAAGAATTTGTTCTTAACGGACTTGCCTAGTTAAATAAAGGTAAAATAAATAAAAAATAAGTTAAATGCTCTACCAACTGAGCCACACAGGACCATTCTCAATAGAGATTCTCTTTTGAAATAGTTTTTAATCCAGGACTAGGATTGATCTTAATCTGGGAAACCGGCCCGAAGTGTCATGCTTTATTACAGGTCAAACCAAGTGTCCTGAAAAAAGTTTATTGTATTTTTCTATTGTTTTAGGTCACAGTTCAACGACAGATATGTGCAACCTATGCTGGCCGTGTAAGGCAACCTACTCCATTGCCGTTGAAATTAAAGCAGCCACTCCCTCTGCAAGGCAGAATTAAAACACTCTCAATAAGCAGCATTAGTGAAGAGGAAAAAGATGAACAAGAAGATAACATCATCAAGGTATTCCAAGTATGACCGTGAACCTGGGGACAGATCTAGGATCAGCTTCCACTTCCCCAGTCCTAACTTTAACCATTAGGGGGGGAAATATGCTAAACTGATCCACGATCAGCATCTACTGGCAAATTCACCATACACCATCAAACCTAGCCTGAACAGTGGTCAAAAGACAGGAATGAAGCAGCAACCACTAGCATCTCTTGGGGCTATGTAAAACCAGAAACGGCTCAAATAAGCTATCGGACATCAATACATTGTGTATTATATTAGTTACATACCAGTCAAAAGTTTGGACACACCTACTCATTCAAGGGGTTTTCTTTATTTTTAATATGTTCTACATTGTAGAATAGTGAAGACATCAAAACAATGAAATAACACACATGGAATCATGTAGTAACCAAAAGTGTTTTTAAACAAATCAAAATATATTTGAGATTCGTCAAAGTAGCCACCCTTTGCCTTGATGACAGCTTTGCACACTCTTGGCATTCTCTCAACCAGCTTCATGAGGTAGTCACCTGGAATGCATTTCAATTAACAGGTGTGCCTTCTTAAAAGTTAATTTCTGGAATTTCTTTCCTCCTTAATGCATTTGAGCCAATCAGTTGTGTTGTGACAAGGTAGGGGTGGTATACAGAATATAGCCCTATTTAGTAAATGACCAAGTCCATATTATGGTAAGAACAACTCAAATAAGCAAAGAGAAACGACAGTCCATCATTACTTGAAGACATGAAGGTCAGTCAATACGGAACATTTCAAGAACTTTTAAAGTTTCTTCAAGTGCAGTCGCAAAAACCATCAAGCGCTATGATGGAACTGGCTCTCATGAGGACCACCACAGGAAAGGAAGACCCAGAGTTACCTCTGCTGCAGAGGATAAGTTCATTATAGTTACCAGCCTCAGATTGCAGCCCAAATAAATGCTTCACAGAGTTCAAGTAACAGACACATCTCAACATCAACTGTTCAGAGGAGACTGCATGAATCAGGCCTTCATGGTCGAATTGCTTCAAAGAAACCACTACTAAAAGACACCAATAATAAGAAGAGACTTGCTTGGACCAAGAAACACAAGCAATGGACATTAGACCGGTGGAAATGCGTCCTTTGGTCTGGAGTCCAAATTTGAGATTTTTGGTTCCAACCTCAGTGTCTTTGTGAGTAGGTGAATGGATGATCTCTGCATGTGTGGTTCCCACCGTGAAGCATGGAGGAGGAGGAGGTGTGATCGTGTGGGGGTGCTTTGCTGGTTACACTGTTGGTGATTTATTTAGAATTCAAGGCACACTTAACCAGCATGGCTACCAAAGCATTCTGCTGCAATACGCCATCCCATCTGGTTTGGGCTTAGTGGGACTATCATTTGTTGTTCAACAGGACAATGACCCAACACACCTCCAGGCTGTGTAAGTGCTATTTGACCAAGAAGGAGAGTGATGGAGTGCTGCTTCAGATGACCTGGCCTCCACAATCACCTGACCTCAACCCAATTGAGATGGTTTGGGATGAGTTGGACCGCAGAGTGAAGGAAAAGCAGCCAACAAGTGCTCAGCATATGTGGGAACTCCTTCAAGACTGTTGGAAAAGCATTCCAGGTGAAGCTGGTTGAGAGAATGCCAAGAGCGTGCAAAGCTGTCATCAAGGCAAAGGGTGGCTACTATGAAGAATCTAACATATAAAATATGATTTGATTTGTTTAACACGTTTTTGGTTATTACATGATTCCATACGTGTTATTTCATAGTTTTGATGTCTTCACTGTTATTCTACTATGTAGAAAATGAGTAGGTGTGTCTAAACTTTTGACTGGTACTGTACATGTGGGTTTATGTTACATTGAGAACCTCCAAAGAATCATCACTAATGACAATTTGACCACAACCATTTGTCAAATTCACACCATTTCACTCTGGCATTTGATTCTTCCATCAGGATGCAGATCGTCTGATGGAATGGTGGGAGAAGGTGAAAAGTGAACGTGAGCATCACAGCTTCAAAATGTACTTAATAATTTCGAACATAGTTTAGGTGTTTTAACTTTAATATTGTCCTCTGTTGCATTTTAGCATGGAAAGATCTGGCAAATGACCCTAAACTGGCCAAGAAGGGAGAAGCAAAGTAAGTTCTTCAGTTTAGACCCAGCTAACAAACTTTAGTGTACATTTATTTTAATATTCTGTCACTAACCACCCTCCATATTGATGACCTACAGTGTGGGGAAAAAAGTATTTAGTCAGCCACCAATTGTGCAAGTTCTCCCACTTAAAAAGATGAGAGAGGCCTGTAATTTTCATCATAGGTACATGTCAACTATGACAGACAAATTGGGATTTTTTTTCCAGAAAATCACATAGTAGGATTTTTAATGAATTTATTTGCAAATTATGGTGGAAAATAAGTATTTGGTCACCTACAAACAAGCAAGATTTCTGGCTCTCACAGACCTGTAACTTCTTCTTTAAGATGCTCCTCTGTCCTCCACTCGTTACCTGTATTAATGGCACCTGTTTGAACTTGTTATCAGTATAAAAGACACCTGTCCACAACCTCAAACAGTCACACTCCAAACTCCACTATGGCCAAGACCAAAGAGCTGTCAAAGGACACCAGAAACAAAATTGTAGACCTGCACCAGGCTGGGAAGACTGAATCTGCAATAGGTAAGCAGCTTGGTTTGAAGAAATCAACTGTGGGAGCAGTTATTAGGAAATGGAAGACATACAAGACCACTGATAATCTCCCTCGATCTGGGGCTCCACGCAAGATCTCACCCCGTGGGGTCAAAATGATCACAAGAACGGTCAGCAAAAATCCCAGAACCACACGGGGGGACCTAGTGAATGACCTGCAGAGAGCTGGGACCAAAGTAACAAAGCCTACCATCAGTAACACACTACGCCGCCAGGGACTCAAATCCTGCAGTGCAAGACATGTCCCCTTGCTTAAGTCAGTACATGTCCAGGCCCGTCTGAAGTTTGCTAGAGTGCATTTGGATGATCCAGAAGAGGATTGGGAGAATGTCATATGGTCAGATGAAACCAAAATAGAACTTTTTGGTAAAAACTCAACTCGTCCTGTTTGGAGGACAAAGAATGCTGAGTTGCATCCAAAGAACACCATACCTACTGTGAAGCATGGGGGTGGAAACATCATGCTTTGGGGCTGTTTTTCTGCAAAGGGACCAGGACGACTGATCCGTGTAAAGGAAAGAATGAATGGGGCCATGTATCGTGAGATTTTGAGTGAAAACCTCCTTCCATCAGCAAGGGCATTGAAGATGAAACGTGGCTGGGTCTTTCAGCATGACAATGATCCCAAACACACCGCCCGGGCAACGAAGGAGTGGCTTCGTAAGAAGCATTTCAAGGTCCTGGAGTGGCCTAGCCAGTCTCCAGATCTCAACCCCATAGAAAATCTTTGGAGGGAGTTGAAAGTCTGTGTTACCCAGCGACAGCCCCAAAACGTCACTGCTCTAGAGGAGATCTGCATGGAGGAATGGGCCAAAATACCAGCGACAGTGTGTGAAAACCTTGTGAAGACTTACAGAAAACGTTTGACCTGTGTCATTGCCAACAAAGGGTATATAACAAAGTATTGAAAAACTTTTGTTATTGACCAATACTTATTTTCCACCATAATTTGCAAATAATTCATAAAAAAATCCTACAATGTGATTTTCTGGATTTTTTTTTCTCATTTTGTCTGTCATATTGACGTGTACCTATGATGAAATTACAGGCCTCTCTCATTTTTTTAAGTGGGAGAACTTGCACATTGGTGGCTGACTAAATACTTTTTTCCTCCACTGTATCTAGACTGTTCAAAGTGAAAGCCCAGCGGATCCAGAATGCGTTGCAGCTGTACAACTTCCTCCTGACTAAGCATGGGGAGACTCTAAAGAACCACATCATTGACCTCATCAGCATCGCAGACAACTTAGACAAGGTAGCACTATAGCCTACTGTACAGACAACTTAGACATGGTAGCACTATAGACTACTGTACAGACAACTTAGACATGGTAGGAGCACTATAGACTACTACTGTACACACTTGTAATGCCTGTGACTAATATCAATTACCCCCCCAGCAGATTTTATAAGTACAATTCTACAATTACATTAGATTACATTTAATTCTATTCAATTCAACAATTTCATTATATCCAAGGTTTCCAAGGGAACCAAGATCGCTGGCATCACTGGGGGCGCCACGGGGGCGGTTGGAGGGGTGGCGGCTGTGGCAGGGGTGATCCTCGCCCCCTTCACCCTAGGGGCATCACTGGCCTTGACAGTGGTCGGAGTCGGTGTAGCTGCAGCTGGAGGGGTCACAGGGGCCTCTGCGGCTATCGCTAACAAAGTGAGCTGTTAGAATCCAATTATAGAGCATTTGAAGAACAAAGGATGTTAGCACACTTAACATATTAATATGGTCATTCATCCTTGATTGGACAGACACCAGGAATTTCACTTGGCCTGGGAAATGGCCTTGGAGCCAAGTTAGTTTCCCAAGAAACTCATTCAGATTAATTAACTGTAGGTGTTCCATTCGGAACTTAGATACTTCAAAAGAATATTGAGAAGTACTGTGTATAACATCACTGTCCAACTCCTCTTCGTTCCAGGAAGTAAATTCTTCATATCACTCTTAGGTGAGCAGTGCACAGGACAGGAAGAAGATTGAGCTGATCCTCCAGGACTACCGGGCCCTGATGGGCAACATTGAAGCCTGCTTGAGGTTCATCAACGTGGGCATGGAGCACCTGAGGAAGCACAACCTCTCAACCCTCCAGGGGGTTGACACGGAGGCCGTAAGAGTGGCCAGGTATGATATTAAATCATATACTGTATTTACTCTTGTCTGGAAATATATGAACGTTATGTTTTTAATATCTTTGTTTTTAAACCTAAACCTTGACCTTAACCAGCGTGGCCATAGTGACAGGAGTGGGTAGCTCCAGTGCCATAGAGGCCAGCAGTAAGGCATCGGGGATGCTCCAAGGCTTCGCTCTGGGCATGGATATCTATTTTACCCAGAAGAAGGATGGCAAAGGTGACCAGAAGCTGAAGAAGGGATTGGAGTCCAAGTTTGGGAAAAAGATACGCGAAGTGGCTCAGCAGCTGAAAGAAGGGCTGGATGAAGTTTTCAAGGTCAAATATGAGCTACTTGAAAAGAATCTCATCCTCTGAAGAGGGGGAGGAGTTCTGTTCTGTTTTCTATTCAGTTCTATCCTATTCGGTTCTATCCTATCCTGATCCAAGACCAGCTTGACCGCTGAGCTCTCGCTCTGTTTCCTTTCCTATCCTATATTCTACTGTATGTTCAGGTCTTCTGCAAATAAGTAGGCATGATGAGGGGATGGATTGTGAATCGTGATCATCATCATGTGTGACATGTTATGATATAACAGCAGCACTCTTGATGGCTTCTTTTCCAGATTTTGCTATTTTTATCATAACTTTTACAAATGCTCTGTGTAAATATGCTAATAGAATTTCAGTTACTACTGATCTAATTTGGGGCATAAACAAGTGACTGTTTCAAATTACGTATTTTCTATAAACTGAGTGTCCAAAACATTCAGAACACCTGCTCTTTCCATGTCAGACTATCCAGGTGAAAGCTATGATCCCTTATTTATGTCACTTGTTAAATCCACTTCAATCAGTGTAGATGAAGGAGAGGAGATTTTAAAGCCTCGAGACAATTGAGACAAGGATTGTGTGTGTGTGCCATTCAGAGGGGGTATGGGCAAGACAAAAGATTTAAGTGCCTTTGAACATGATATTGTAGTAGGTGCCAGATACACCGGTTTGAATCAAGAACAGCAACACTGCAGGGTTTCACGCTCAACAGTTTTTCCCTGTGTCTATCAGAATGGTTTCCCCACCCAAAGGACATCCGCCAACTTGACACAACTGTGGGAAGCATTGGTGTCAACATGGGCCAGCATCCCTGTGGAACGCTTTCGATACCTTGTAGAGTCCATGTCCCGACGAATTGAGGCTGTTCTGAGGGCAAAAGGGGGTGCAACTCAATATTAGGAAAGTGTTTCTAATGTTTGGTACACTCAGTGTATAGTGCACTACTTTTGACCAGAGTCCTACACACTAAAAAAGGAGGGTTCCTCAAGGGTTCTTTGGGAAGGGACATGGTTCTATGTGGAACCATATAGAACCTTATGAGCTTGGTTCTTAATAGGACCTTCAAAAAATGGTTCCACTATGTTACAAGCCAAATAACCCTTATTTGGCACTATAAAGAACCATTCGTTTTTAGTGTATATGAACGCTGGTCAGAAGTGCTGCACTACATAAGGAATAGGGTGCCATATGGATATATGGATAAACATGAATGCAGTCCTTGAGACTCATTCCGAACAAGGTTGTGTTGCTCTCATGTTGAAGGTATTTTTGATTATGAAGGCGGTCCTTTGTAGCTTAGTTGGTAGAGCATGGCACTTACAACATCAGGGGCCGTGGGTTCAATTCCTGCTGGGACCACCCATATGTAAAATGTGTGCACGCATGACTGTGTCGCTCTGGACAAAAGCATTTGCTAAATGGATACAATATTAGGTAACCAATCAACTTTGAGTGGCACAACAGTCAGATTGTGTTGCTGATTTGCTACTTTTCTCAGTTGATTTTCAAAGAATTTCTGTGGTTCCGTTTTGATGAAAAGATTGAATCGCAATGAATTGGAGTGTTTTTTTATTTAATAAAGCATATGAAATGTAGTTTATCTGTTGAAAAAAGGTAGCCAACCACAACACAGCTAAACATTGATACCAGTTAGGATAAAATTGCAATGTGGGTGTGGACTGGCAAGATTGAGTCTACCAGGTTTCAGTTGTGTATCATAGAATCACTGCAAAATGTTTCATTGTCAAATCTATTGTCATATAAACCAATGTTGTGAATAAAATAATTAAAAGACAGATTTAGTCATGTTCATTTCATTTCACTGAATCTCTCAATGGGCCTTGTAAGACTGTATATTACAACTGACTGTAGTCCCCGGTGCAGTGTTAAGTTGATGCAGAAAGACCTGCTTTTCTAGGCACTGCTCTCCGAATAGTAGATTGATGCACACAAAGGAATGATTCTCTTCTATTGTGAGTGGAGAAAGAGGTAGTGTATGAGGTAAACAGGAGAATAGTTGTACATCTGTGATGGCAAAGGTAAGGGCCTTTTCTGTATTTACCTGTGGAGTTTTGTGACTGAGTCTGGTATGATTTAGCCCTCAATGCATAGCCTTAAAGGAAAGAGCAGACTTCATGAAAGATTTTGTTCCATAAGTACAGACGTTTTCCCCCAACATACTTTATTATTGTGCACACTTAGGGATTTAGGTCAAACCTTGTATTGACTACATTAACCCAAACATAAATTCATGCATTGCAAAAATAATAGTATAGTTTTTTTTTTAAATAAGTAGGGCCCTGTGTTTTATCATGTGACATGATGCCTGATTCTATCCTGTATTTTAAGCCTTATCCAGAAATGAGAATTACATAAAAAATATGAACGCAATGGTGCTGGACAATCTGACATAAAAGCTTTAAATGAAGGTTTAAATCCAGGCATGTCACATGATGGCGCAAAGACAAGGCCCTATTTATAAGACATGCACACTTGTGTGTGACACGTCAGAGTGAAAGTGAAAAGGATGGAAGGCATTACTAATGATTCATTCCAAATTGCACAACTCAACAGCGTAAATCTGTTTTGTCCAACTGGATAGACAGGCAACATCCAGGGTTCTTCCTCCACTGCAAAAGAAGACAAATAAAGCATGTACAGAAAGCAGATTATCAGCTGTTGTCAAACACACCTTGGTCAGAAAAGACGATTCTCTTCCTCAATAGCAGGCAGCAAATTATACTAGATGAAAAGTCTAAATGAGTGACATCCTGACATTTGAAGGATACTCAATTCAAAGTGTGACATACTATAAAACATTTTATTTTCGCATACCCAAAAACACTACTATTTAGAACTCAAGTACAGTTATTCGGCCTCTAATGTGGATGAACCAGACTTGTATTTTTTTTGTCACATCTCAGAGACAAAGCAGGTGCTTCATCTCTGTCCGGCTCCTTCCTATTCACCATTATAAAGATGACTGTATCGATTAAAGAAGTATGTACAAGAGTTTTTGCTTTCAACCTTTCCACCTTAGCTACTTTGAGTGTGTGGCAGATTCATCACACACATTCACTATTCATCACCCACTTCCACTCCCCAACAGCCTCCACCTCCGGGGCCCCACTCCAGGAATATCTATCTGGGCATGCCTGAGGAGAGTGAGCCCCAGAGGAGATGGCGCTATGGTCACCTCTCTCCCTCAGTAACACTCGGCCCAGGGGATGGTGGACGCAGGGTAAGATTGAATTCAACCATTGTCAATGTCTATTTGAACTGCAGTTTTAACTATGGTATGACTTACCTGACTTGATCCTCATGGCCCCCTGGGGAGCATAGGATGTCCACCATGGCTCTCCACCTAACTCTTCTCTGAGAGACCTATTGTGTGAAATATATATTGACTTGAATTCCTTTTTATTTGAACTCCAGACACAGTTCAGAAGCCGCCTCCTATGGCCCAGAAGAAGTTGTCTGTGAGAAGTAATCCTGAAATCACTGACTGAAATGGTCAAGGTATCTTGTCGCAACACACTCTTCTCTTCCATTTTCTTTCATATATCCATATATGAGTGAATCCTAACTTCCACTGAAGTCAAATGTTCACGTTGTCTCCCATTGACATCAACGCATGGCTAAGCAGTAAAAATTCGACTTGAGTGGAAGTTAGGATTTGCCCCAGAAAATGCACTCTGAAAATAACTTGAATTACTATTTTCTTTTTCAGTTTGAAACTGAAGAGGACCAAAACAAGCCGCTTCTCTTGGGTCGCCTGCCGTCGTTGACAGAGAGGAGTCCAATCTTCCACTCGTAAGGTGAGAGAGACAGAGAATGGAGATGTTTAACACTAAACGTAAATCCTATTAACTAAGCTTAAATCCAATTAACAACCCAAATAACACTGTAACCGTAATCCGAATGCAATCTATACATATTGTAGCGGTTTCAGGGGTTGTATTGTGGATGGACGTTATGTGCCCGCGAGGTTGTTTTGTTTTTTGGCTGCCCGCTCCACGGATTGCAATGCGAAGTATTCCACAGAAGCAGGACCACGGACAGCTCAGTGTAAACTTGTAGACTGTAGCAGAACAGCCACACCTGTCTCCAGTTGTAATTAGAGCCAATCTGCAGACAGGTGAAACCAATCAGTTTCTCTATTTAACCGCGCCCTGGGTTTCTTTCTGTATTTTATATGTATACGCCGGCAGGGGAAGGAGTAGTAGGTTATTGGAGAGACCGAGCGTACGAAGGACCAGGAGGTTTTAAACAAGAAAGGAAAATATGATTACAACAAAGATTGCACCCCCACAGACAACGCTTGGAGAACCTTCCACTGGGTGCGAAGTGTTTACTTTGTTTGTTTTGGGTTGCATAAATCGCGAACGCTGCCGAAGCCTGGCTGTATGTGTAAACCCTTCCTTACAAAGAACCCGGCGCAGAAAACGCTACAGTATGTACACCGGGAGAATTTACACATTATACTGTATACTAAGAATGACAGAGTACAGCAGTAGATATATTACAGTGATCTATGTCAATAATCCAGTGTATATAATAAATATGTGGTGTGTGTGTGTATAAACGGTGAAACTACAATGCAATGTACAGTATTAGAAATATTAGAATGAGCTATATGGCGAATACAGTATTTAAGCTGAACACTCATTTATTACTAATAATGTAATACCTGGTTTTCCGAGCTGTACATTGTTCTTCTTCCAGTTTGGGTCGCCTGCCTATTGAATTACGACAGATACCAGCAACCTTTTATAACCGTGAAAGGCCTCCATTACTGTCCAAGCAGTCACTTGCTCTGAAAGGCACTCAGACACTTTTGCAGAATAAAAACGCTCTCATTAAGCAGTGTCGGTGAAGAGGAAAAAGAACAAGATGACATCAAGGTATAACAAGAATGACAGTGTAAAACCATGAACTGCTCATAAAAAATAAGTCAGTCATCAATACATTCTGTAGTATATTATTTACATGTGGGTTTAGGTTACATACAGAACCTCCAAAGAATCATCGCTGATGACAGTTTAATCACAACCATTTGAGAAATTGTCACATTCAACCTTTCATTTCATTCTTCCATCAGGATGCAGATCATCTGATGGAACAGTGGGAGAAGGTGAAATGTGAGCGTCATAGCTTCAAAATGTACTTTATAATGATTTTTTATGTAATAATGGATACGTTTCTGTATATTTCATCCTCCTGTTCTATGTTTGCCTTTTAGCATGGAAAGACCTGGCAAATGACCCTAAACTGGCCAAGAAGGGAGAAGCAAAGTAAGTTCTTCAGTTTAGACCCAGCTAACAAACTTTAGTGTACATTTGAATATTTTGTCAGTTGGCACTAACCACCCTCCATACTGATGACCTTCTAAATCAACTGTCCAAAGTGAAAGCCCAGCGGGTCCAGAATGCATTGCAGCTGTACAACCTCTTCCTGACTAAGCATGGGGAGGATCTGAAGAACCACATCGTTGACCTCATCAGCATCGCAGACAACTTAGACATGGTAGGAGTACTATAGACTACTGTACAGACAACTTAGTCAAGGTAGCACTATAACCTACTGTATAATCGCTTTACATTTTTTATTTAAGCCTTAACAAATATCAATAACCCCCAGCAAAATAATTAAGTTCAATTCTATTAGATTAAATTCAACAATTCCATTAAAATAAATTAAATTCCATTTAAATTCTATCCAAGGAAACCAAGAATGCTGGCATCACCGGGGGTGGCTGCTGTGGCAGGGGTGATCCTCGCCCCCTTCACCATGGGGGCATCACTGGGAATGACTGTGACCGGAGTCGGTGTAGCTACAGTGGGAGGGGTCACAGGGGCATCAGCAGTTATCGCTAACAAGGTAAGCAGTTAGAATCCAAACACAATCAACCTTTATTTATTGTGCATAAAAGAGTAAAGATAAAGAAGGGTTGGACAATGATTGTTTCATGAGACAAGGCAGCAGGCCTACAAATGGGATTGAACTGTTTTCATTTTGTTCTTTTCTCTGAGAGTGTCCACAGCAATTAAGAGAGTACATGTGCATGACATCATTTTCCAACTCGTCTTCATTCAAGGTGAACAGCACACAGGACAGGAAGAAGATCGAGATTATCCTCCAGGACTACCGGGCCCAGATGGGTGACATTGAAGCCTGCCTGAGGTTCACCATTTTAATGACACTTTAATGTGACTTTTAAACAGGAATTATTGTAGGACTCTTTTAACCGAATGTAGTATCCGATCTTGTTTATGAAAGTATTGTCTTGATGTAATTGTGCATTCTGCATAATTCAGTCTTGTCGACTGCAAGCATGAATTAAATACTTTTTTTTTTTTTATCAAATTCTTGAGGTTCATCAACGTGGGCATGGAGCACCTGAAGAAGCACATCCCCTCAACCCTCCAGGGGGTTGACACAGAGGCCATCAGGGTGACCAGGTATGATATTAAATCATCTATTTATTCCTTGTCTAGAAATATCTTTGTTTTTTATGTCTAAGTAAGTTTATTTTTCTCAGTTTTTAGTGTTTATTTATGTATGTGAAGCACTTTGCACTGCCTTATCGGTTGTGTTGTGTGACTTTATTTATGATATATTTATGCATATCATTATCTCTTTACCTGTGTTTTTATATATTTTATGATATGACGCATAACATGTTAAGTATTCATATGTACCGAGATGCTCAAATAAACCTTAACCAGCGTGGCCATAGTGACAGGAGTGGGTAGCTCCAGTGCCATAGAGGTCAGCAATAAGGCATCGGGGATGCTCCAAGGCTTCGCTCTGGGCATGGATATCTACTTCACTAAGCAAGAGGATGGTCCAAAGCTGAAGAAGGGACTGGAGTCCAAGTTTGGGAAAAAGATACCCAAAGTGGCTCAGCAGCTGAATGACGGGCTGGATGAAGTGTTCAAGGTCAAAGACGAGCTAGTGGAAAATAATCTCGTCCTCTGAAGTGGAGGAGGAGAAAAATCAAATCAACGTTTATTTGTAAGGTGTAAAGGATACAGGGTGTAAATGGTACAGTGAAATTCTTACTTGCAAGCTCTCACCATTGCAGTAACGTTACACTTTATCAAAAATATGATCAGTAATAATAAAAAGTCACACAAAATAAGTAGTTAAAAGGTAGGACAAACTACTTTTTAAATATATTTTGTTCGGTTCTTTCTGTCCTGTTCTACACTGTATACTCAGTGTATATCTGTACTATACATTTTTTGTTAATCTAAAATCAATTGTTTTTTTGTGGGGCTTTTTATGACCCCACTAGACCCTGACTTTTTGAATACCACTGGTCAAATGGGACAGAACCATTGTCTGTTTCTCAAATGGCACCATATAGGGCCCTGTTCAAAAGTAGTGCACTACATAGCGAATAGGGTACCATTTGAATGCAAGCATAGACAGTAGAGAACTCAATGACCTCCACTATTTCGTTCTTTGGCTTTTCAACCAGCAGGTGGCGGTATTTGACATGTATTCCAATTTTAATCATGAGTTGTCATCAGAATATAGCTAAACTAAATCTGTAAATAAAATTGAGAAAAGTTACTATAATCTGTTGATTAGTCTTCAGTTAAGTTAATAAAGACACTTGAATCCTTGAGGACAAATAGTATTTGGAAAAGACACTAGAAAGTCAACGTGTCCTTTTCTACCATAAGTAATGGGTGTATTAAGGCTTAAAAACAATTATTTGATCACTTTAGACAAGTTCTAATGCATTTTGATCGATCTTAGATTGACTTTTATCTAACTTTGTAAAGTAGTCTACTCTACACATTGTAGTCCTTCATTTTGTGGGCAATACGTTTCATGTAATCAAAAATAATACACTGTTTTTTTAGATTGGAGATACAAGTTAAAAATGGAAGCATTCATTTCCTGTTCATTCTTGATTCAATATAAACATGTTCATTTGACCTACATTTCGTCGGTTACACTGTAGCCCTGGAACTATTTATTTCCAACGAGGAGAATAACGATCTAAACCAATCAGAGGGAGTGACGGGGTCGGAGTGATACACCACAGCGCTGTTTGACGGAAGGATACACTTGGGTGTGATGAACGACTATAAATACTCATGTGACCTCGCTCAATCGTCGTTTCTCTGGACATTCAATGTTAGTTTGGTAGCATTCCGAGCGCTCAGTTCTCCCTCGCAAAATGGCAGTTTAACGTGCAGCGGCTTATCTAGCAGCGGCAACAACCCGGCAGTGCAACAGTCAAGCACTGGCTTTTTTACGCAAAATGGCGTAAGTAAAAATTATACATATTTATTCTCAGGAAATGTCAAGTCAGACACATGTCAGCTGTCCGACAGGTGTGGCTGGCAAGCAGGCTTGGGAGGTTGTTGTTAGCGGTCTAGCTAACTCAACAATACAAGAGCTTAGCTGTAGCTAGCTATTTACTTAAGATATTTGATATGTCAGACTGTCAGCTAGATTGGGCTGTCTTTGGCACCTACCCAGCTGTGGAAATACAATGACTCGTATCAGCTGTCTGCCTGAAATAACTAACGTTAGATAGCATATCCTATGCAGTTGTGTCGGCGTTTCAATGCGGTTCAACAAACTGACAGAACCATGTGGATCCGATGCCATCTACAGTGGTCCATTTAAATAGATAGTTACGTCATAACTAACTAATTAGCTACCTCCTCATATTGAATAACTGTGTTATGATTTTTAACTAATGTTGTTAAACTCAGACTCATAAATGAAGTTGCTATTCCAGACATGGCAACGTGGCACTTTCAAAATGGCGTACTTTTGTCCTCTCGCTTTTCACTTCCCTCTCATGACAGATGGTTGTGTTGTGAAAATGGCGGTATCCTCCCCTCCCCTCTCCGTTTCAATAGTGAGTCAGGGAGGAGGCGGTGTTACCGGTCACATCATGACCAAATTAGGCAATGTTGTCCACTGGCGGAGGGCGGGGAGTTTACCGTCACTGGCGGAATGACTTTCCACTGACGGATTAGACGAGAATAGCTCTCCTACTATTTTATTATGTAATACGTCTGAATGTGAAATACATTAATATAATAAGTAATGCGTTTTAGGAGATATTAAGTCAAAGTTGATATTGACTCGATTTTACTTACTTGAATTGTTCCTTTTAGTTCACTTTGACTCGATTTTACTTACTTGAATTGTTCCTTTTAGTTCTTAGTGGAATAAATGGCCACATTTGCCAGGAAACGATCGAATGTTACTGTTGACTAGGACATAACTTAAGGTTTTACAAGGTATCTCTAGCTGACTGTTTTCAGCTCTATTTCCCAGACACATACTTCCTCTTAACAGACTTCCTCCTAACACTGAGGGCTTTTGTTTATTTGGACCTACCCCGGTGGGAGGAGTTTGAACCGGTTCATTCGTTTTGGAACCAGGCTGCCTCCCCAGGTGTGAGCCAGGTGCCATGCTCTGGCCAACTGCGAAGTCGGCTCAAAACAAAAGTGACATAAATAAGGACGTGTAGGATTCTGTGTTTTCACATGCAAAAGTGATTGCTTTTGATAAAAACTCTGTATCTGCCTTCCCAATGAAAACTAGTTAAACATTTATTTTATGGAAAGCGATGTATGTTTCTGGAAGATGCACCATGCTGCCTTTGTTGACAACATAACCAAGCTGCGCAGATTATTGTTTGATTTGAGAAGGGTGCTCCCTCCCCCCCGTTTCAACCCGGGCCAGCATAATATAACTCCTTCCATGGGTCTTACTAACACAATACAATGAGGCTAGTTAATACCTCTTGGTCTTTCTAACACAATACAATGAGGGTAGTCAATGAGTAGCACCATTTAACTGACACCATATATTGATATGATTACCTATCCCTCAAAACAATGACGTGGCAAAGAGATTATTTTGAAGAACGAGCTGGCCTTAATGGCCATGTAGTCTTTTCTCCACCCGGCACAGCCAGAAGAGGACTGGCCACCCCTCAGATCCTGGTTCCTCTCTAGGTTTCTTCTTAGGTTCCTTCCTTTCTAGGGAGTTTTTCCTAGCCACCATGCTTCTACATCTGCATTACTTGCGGTTTGGGTTTTTAGGCTGGATTTCTGTTTAAGCACTTTGTGACATCTGCTGATAAAAAAAAAATACATTTTATTGATTATTTTCCTTTTTCTGTAGCCTAGCTATAATGGTACTAAGGCCCTGTTATACACCACATCTCACCCCTATCCCACCTTCTCCTCTCCTCTAGTATGTATAGACATGCAAAATACATTTCTGTTGCTCATGTAGTAAATGAACCAATAAAGTCATCTTCTCTCCTCTATGGAACTACTTGTCATACCGAATTTGTAACCCCAATCCCTCCATCTCTCTCTCCTTCCTCCATCCAGGTCTCTCAAACCAACCACCCTCAGCTCTGCTGTTGTCTACCACAGCACGATATCACCGTTCCCCCTAACGACGACAACGTCAGAAGACTCTCTGTTATCCTGTTATAATTCACTGTTACTGTTGACAAGCACCAGAAGAAGCAGTCATGTCCCTGTTGAGTTCCCAACTGGCCTTGGAGGACGTTGGGGCCCAGTTACTGGACAACTGGTTTCTGACGGCTGACCCCATGGGGCCCCGTCTGGACCAAGATGAAGAGGATGATCTACCCCCCTCTCTCTCCTTCTCTTCTTCCAGCTCCCTCTCTCTCTCCAACTCTTCTGCCTCCTCCCTTTCTCCCTCCTTTAGTTTGTCTCCTTCCCCCTCCCATCTCTCGTTCTCCCCCCCTCCTCCCTCGTTCCTGGTGAGCAGCAAGGCCGGGTCCGGGGTAGAGGATCAACTGATGCCGTTGACTCCATGGCTGGAAGCTAGCGAGCTGCTCGATGCCCACATGGGAACAAACGGCTGCAGAGGTGAGAACACAGCTGAAATGAAAACCAACAAAAAAACACGATAACGCCACCTCCAAGTGATTATTGATTTCATCGCAACAGGTTTGATCTTAAAAGCCTGTGCTGGGTTCTCATCCTGCAACGTGAACTTAATGTAAACTAACTAAATTATTACTAGAAATCTCCCATCTAATTCCCACTATACTCTGCCCAAATACCAAGCTCAAGTGTTGCGAAAGACATACAAACTCCTCCTTTGTTTGCTGCCTAACCCTATACTTGGTTCCATCGGTGGTGTTATCACAGTGTTGGGCCTAGGTTAAGTTTCCCCTTGTCCTAGTGTTTTCAGTCAGTCAATACTGGAGGATTTTCAAAGGTGGTGTTATCACAACTATTAGGCTTAAACCTATAATTTTAAGCAATCTCCCGCCTACGCTCTCCCCTGGGCTCGGTTTGTCATAAACAGTTGCCCGATGCCAACCTACAGTTGAAGTCGGAAGTTTACATACACTTAGGTTGGAGTCATTAAAACTCATTTTTCAACCACTCCACAAATTTCTGGTTAACAAACTATCGTTTTGGCAAGTCGGTTAGGACATCTACTTTGTGCATGACACAAGTAACTTTTCCAACAATTGTTTACAGACAGATTATTTCATTTATAATTCACTGTATCAAAATTCCAGTGGGGCAAAAGTTTACATACACTAAGTTCACTGTGCCTTTAAACCGCTTGGAAAGTTCCAGAAAATTATGTCATGGCTTTAGAAGCTTCTAATTGACATCATTTGAGTCAATTGGAGGTGTACCTGTGGATGTATTTCAAGGCCTACCTTCAAACTCAGTGCCTCTTTGCTTGACATCATGGGAAAATCAAAAGAAATCAGCCAAGACCTCAGATAAAAAATTGTAGACCTCCACAAGTCTGGTTCATCCTTGGCAGCAATTTCCAAACGCCTGAAGGTACCACGTTCATCTGTACAAACAATAGTACGCAAGTATAAACACCATGGGACCACGCAGCCGTCATACCGCTCAGGAAGGAGACTCGACTTTGGTGCGTAAAGTGCAAATCAATCCCAGAACAACAGCCAGGGACCTTGTGAAGATGCTGGAGGAAACGGGTACAAAAGTATCTATATCCACAGTAAAACAAGTCCTATATTGACATAACCTGAAAGGCCACTCAGCAAGGAAGAAGCCACTGCTCCAAAACCGCCATAAAAACCCAGACTACGGTTTGCAACTGCATATGGGGACAAAGATCGTACTTTTTGGAGAAATGTCCTCTGGTCTGATGAAACAAAAATAGAACTGTTTGGCCGTAATGACCATCGTTATGTTTGGAGGAAAAAGGGGGTTGCTTGCAAGCCCAAGAACACCATCCCAACCGTGAAGCACAGGGGTGGCAGCATCATGCTGTGGGGGTGCTTTGCTGCAGGAGGGGCTGGTGCACTTCACAAAATAGATGGCATCATGAGGAAGGAAAATTATGTGGATATATTGATGCAACATCTCAAGACATCAGTCAGGAAGTTAAAGCTTGGTCGCAAATGGGTCTTCCGTAGCCCCGTGTAGCTCAGTTGGTAGAGCATGGCGCTTGCAACGCCAGAGTTGTGGGTTCGATTCCCAAGGGGGGCCAGTATGAAAATGTATGCACTCACAATTACTGTAAGTCACTCTAGATAAGAGTGTCTGCTAAATGACTAAAATGTAAATGGACAATGACCCCAAGCATACTTCCAAAGTTGTGGCAAAATGGCTTAAGGACAACAAAGTCAAGGTATTGGAGTGGCCATCACAAAGCCCTGACCTCAATCCTACAGAAAATGTGTGGGCAGAACTGAAAAGGCATGTGCGAGCAAGGAGGCCTACAAACCTGACTCCGTTACACCAGCTCTGTCAGGAGGAATGGGCCAAAATTCACCCAACTTATTGGGGGAAGCTTGTGGAAGGCTACCCTAAACGTTTGACCCAAGTTAAACAATTTAAAGGCAATGCTACCAAATACTAATTGAGTGTATGTAAACTTCTGACCCACTGGGAATGTGATGAAAGAAATAAAAGCTGAAATAAGTCATTCTCTCTACTATTATTCTGACATTTCACATTCTTAAAATATAGTGGTGATCCTAACTGATCTAAGTCAGGGAAATTTTACTAGGATTAAATGTCAGGAATTGTGAAAAACTGAGTTTAAATGTATTTGGCTAAGGTGTATGTAAACTTCCGACTTCAACTGTATATGGTAATCATTAACCATAGAGGTCGTTAGTAACTACTTGTATTACCTGTTTGCACATCCAAACGTGATGACAAGCCCCCATCACCTGAACAAACTGGTTTGCTCCAGATTACTGTAACGTAAGACTGGTGTCAGCGTTGCTTTTCCTCCTATTGTACAGACAGGAAACATGTCGGCTAACAATAGGGTTTTATAGTAGGGCTCAGGGATCACCTACTTCAATGTCCCCACGAATCAGGATTAGACTGGAATATTGTCTTTCAGAGCAGAGTTTCGTTTGGGAAACCCTGTTTCAGAGGACTGATTTTCCTTCGGGATCACTGTACAATTATTGTTAAAATTGTCACGTCATCAAATACATTGAGTATAATGTGTTGTATATTTAGATGGAAGTTACTTATCACTTCTCACCCCCCCCCCTCTCAATCTCTTCTTCACAGATGATGCATTTTCGGGCATGGACTGGATGGCTGAGAAGATAGACCTGAGTGATTTCGACCTGGACTCTCTGATTGGCTCCTGTTGTTCCGATGCCCCGCCCAGTTCCCCCGAGGAGCTCCTGGCCTCCCTGGAGACCCACATGGACCTAGACCTGGTACACCCTTTCACTGTCCCAATCCCTGCCCCACGCGAGGTACTCCTGGCCCTGGGCATCCCTCTGGCCGACCTACCCCCTTTGGTTCTCCCCTCCCTGGAGCTCCCTGAAGAAGAGGTAAAGGATGAGGTCAGAGGTCCAGTGGTGACGGTTCAGGATCAAGAGGTTGTGGTGAAGTCTGAGCCACAGTCCCCAGCACCCCTTTCTCCGGCTCCCCTCTCCCTGGGGTATACCCTCGAGCTGGGGAGCGAAGTGGACGTTGATGTCTTGGAAGTCGAGACCACCGACACTCCAACCACCATCATCCCGGAGCCCAGCTACCGCCTCCAGACCACCGCCCCTGTTGTCCTCTCCGGCCACTTCGTGGTGGTCCTCTCCCCTAAAGAGGAGCCAACCATCCTCCCCACATCAACCCTCTTTTCCTCAGCCTCCAGTAGCTGTGATGACCAGTCTGATGACAGCGATTCTGGCATCGACTCTGTATCTGGCTCCCCTCCTCGCCACCCATCTTCATCCCCCTCTCCTTCTCCCTCCATAGCCGGGTCCTCCAGGACCAAACCCTACTCCAAACCCGACCCCAAGACTACATCCCCCACAACCCTCAGTGGCAAGGTCAAATCAGTATCCGGGGCACCCAAGGTCGTGGAGAAGAAACTCAAGAAGATGGAGCAGAACAAGACAGCGGCGACACGCTACCGACAGAAGAAGAAGGGCGAACAGGAAGTGCTGAGTGCGGAGTGTTCCGAGCTGGAGCAGAGGAACCGTGAGCTGGCAGAGAAGGCTGAAGGCATCAGCAGAGAGATCCAGTACCTCAGAGATCTGATGGAGGAGGTCCGCTCAGCCAAGAACAGGAAGAAGACCACTGTTAGTGTGGCGTAGTCAGCGGAAATTATGGATCGAACGAAGGAAAGAAAGAATGAGGGAATGCATGGAATGAGATCCAGTACCTTGTGGAGGAGGGGCTACGTCCTGGTTATCCACCCTTCTCCCAAAGTGTACACTTGCATACTTGCTGTCTATGATGGGAAGTTTGCATTTGCATGCTTTGGGAGAAGGGTGAAGAATCGAGAAGGCAGTCGGGGAATGGCTAGAAAAATGACAGAAAAGTTGATGAGATTATTATTGGGGAGAAGATGTGGGACTGAGATTTTAGTCAGGCGATGCATCAGTCATGCTGGTCTGTTCTGTATTAACCCTATCAGAGCGTTACACTGGTATACATACACACCATTAAACACACACAAGTGTTGTATGGTATATGTCAGGGTTCTTCAATTCCGGTCCTGGAGGGCCGAAACACTTCAGTTTTTTTTTATTTCTACCTGGTAGTTAATTGCACTCACCTGGTGTCCCGGGTCTGAATTAGACCCTGATTAGAAGGAGAGGATGAAAAACAGAGGTGTTTCGGCCCTCCAGGACCGGAATTGAAGAACCCTGGTATATGTGTTGGTTAGGACTAGGCCATGGTTACTGCGTAGGTAGGAAAATGTAGAATTACGACGACGACAAATGAGTACGGCTACACTCTTACCAGTCTCCAACCCACAACCTTCCCAAAAAAGATTTCCTCCAGTTTCAAAGACCAGTTACAACCAATCCCCCTCCCCCCAACTGTCACCCTACTGTTACTCTTACCCCCCTCCCCCTTTACTCTTACCCCCCTCCCCCTTTACTCTTACCCCTCTCCTCCCCCTCTTTTCTCATTACCCCACTACTCTGACTTCTTCTATGCAGCTTTAGTCCAGAAAGGGGCCTCACCCTGTTGCAGATTTTTTGTTACACTGAATTCCTTCTGTCACAATGTTATGTTTGGTATGTATATATCTTCACATGAAACCTGAACTCTACTCTGGCATCATCTTGATTTTATTTAACGCTGGATAGTAGATAACCATCTGTCTACTAGACTCTCCTAGACCTAGTTGGCATCTCTAGTGTTGCTTTTAGGTATGTTTGTTTGGCTTGTATAAATGCTTTGCTATTGTTTACTATTAAAACTCCTTATTGATCTGTTTGAAGTGTGATTTTTTTGGGGGGGATTAAGAAGTACATGTGAACTATTAGTGGCAAATCTAAATGCCTTGACAAATTAGCAGTGAAAACCATATTCAAGTTTAGTAAAGCACTAGTAGTGTACACATATGACTGATACCGTATGAGTTTCATCAAATTAATCATCATGACTAAGCAACAGAACTCTGTTATTTTAAACCTGTGCAACTGGAATGACAGGTGATCAACGCTGGTCCTGGGCCCTTATTAATAAAGCATCTTGAGTAGGAGTGCTAATCTAGTATCAGGTCTCATGTCCATGTAATATTTTCTTTTTTATTTAACTAGGCAAGTCAGTTAAAAACAAATTCTTATTTACAATGACGGCCTACACCGGCCCAATTGTGTGCCGCCCTATGGGACTCCCAATCACGGCCGGTTGTGATACAGCCTGGAATCTAACCAGGGGGTCTGTAGTGACGCCTCAAGCACTGAGATGCAGTGCCTTAGAACGCTGCGCCACTTGTTCTTAAATATAAACAGGCCCTAGATCAGCACTCCCTACTCTGTGAAGTTTTATGAATACAGACCCTGGATCGGTCACACTCTTAATAGCTCCAAATTGAGCTGCGTGAATGTCAGGTCAAATATGTTAAGCGCCTTGGAGAAGGAGTGCTGATTTAAGCTCAGTTTTGGCCTTTAAGTCACAATGAATAAGAGTACATGGACAGGGGGCACTGATCCTAGATCATATCTCTCTTGATACATATGGCCCCAGGTATACCTGATTTGCATATAAGATTGAGCAAACAGGAAATGTCTGGGTAGTTGGAAGTGCAAACAGCCGTGCTGTAACTAGTACAGCTATACCATTGTTGCCATAGCTAATGCAGGGGTTAGCAAGTACACTACTACATGTTTGAGCTTTCAGAGTGTGATTAGCTCTTAATATTTGTTTTTAAAAGTTATTTAACCTTTATTACACTATAACAAATAACGATATATAGCAGGGATTGTCAAATGGCGGCCCTCACATTTTTTTTCAGAAATCATTTTTAGCACAAAATTGGGACATAAAGTAATAAAATCACTAGGAATTCTCAAAATTTAATTTAGGAAATCTATTCCCAAGTATTTCCACGTATAAATAGAGAGACATTATCGTGTACCAATGTAAGCAAGGTTTGAAATTATTGTTTTTGTCAAATACAATATCTGTTTGGGCTTCTTACGTCAATTTGCAGAGTACAAATTATTTATAATTATGTTCCGGCGCCCTGACCATCCGCTCAAGAAAAAATCGGCCCGCGGCTGAAACACTTATATTAAGTGTTTGTCATTGTGCCTTAGCAAGTAAACACTGCTTTAATAGGCTTGGCTTATACTGTGTCATTAGCTGTTTTACAATAATATTTATTAAACAAATATATTATCTTTAATTAAACTATTGAAAGACTCATCTCCTTCTGAAAAGAAGCCCTGGTGCAAGTTGAGCTATTTCAGAAAGTAATTGAAAAAAGTCAGCCAACTTAGAAAACAGGTTTGAACCGGTTGGCATTCGACACATTTTCTTGCCATTGCCTGAAGGGGCAACACCCAAAGAGCAAGTTTTTCACAGAAGTTAGATAGCGAAAAAGGAGGTGTGTGTGTGAAAGAGACGGAGTGGGGGAGGGTAGAGGGAAGCACAGCTGTGAAAACATCTCATGGGAAAGAACCTCCCTCTCTCTGTCTCTCTCCCCCTTTTGTTTGATCTGAAACCAGACAGACTGAGGGGAAACATTTGTCTCTCTCTTTCTCTGTGTGTGTGTGTGAGGCAAAACGTTGTGGGTTGACAGCATGTGTGTCAGTGTGTGAGAGAGAGAGAATAAGCTTGTGGGTTAGTGTGTGAGTATGCAACGAAAACAATATGAGTTCAGTAGGCTGAATATTTGTGTGTGTCTATATGTGTGTCTAGTGCGCGTGTATGCGAGAGTGTGCATGTGTGCACAAACGTTTTGTGTGTGAAAGAGTTCAGTGCTTTGAAAGAAACCTGGCACCCAGATGTGTACGTTTTGCTTGGGCAGTAAAACGTCATCTTTTTATTTGATTTAACCTTTAACCATGTAGGCCAGGAGAGTACATACACACACACACACACACACACACACACACACACACACATTCTACAGTATTGAGGCCTTCCACTCCTGCACAGGCCATGATAAGAACCACCCTGATAAAGAGAGAGAAGGCGAGAGAGAGAGAAGAGGAGAGAAGGAGAAAGAGAGTGGAAGCGATAAGGGGAGAGAGATAGACAGAGAGAAGGAGGGAGAAAGGTAGAAAGAGAGAGGGAAAGGGGGGAGACCTAGTCAGTTGTACAACAATGCATTCAACTGAAATGTGTCTTCCGCATTTAACCCAACCCCTCTGAATCAGAGGTGCGGATGGCTGCCTTAATCGACGTCATCGGTGCCCCCGGGGAGCAGTTGTTGTGGGGGTTAACTGCCTTGCTCAAGGGCAGAACGGCACATTTTTCCACCTTGCCGGCTCGGGCTTTCAAACCAGCGACCTTTCGGTTACAGGTCCAACGCTCTTAACAGCTTGAAGGAGGGAGAGCAATAGAAAGAGAGGGAGAGAGAACACGTAAGAGGCTATAGATAACCCTCCAACCACAGCCAAGTCAAGCCAGGGCAAATGTCATGCAGGGAATGAATTAATGCCTGTTTGAAATGGGACTTGAAATGGCTCCAGACCTGGGTTCAAATATCATTTGAAATCATTTGAAATACTTGATCTGTGCTTGATCGAGGTTGCCGGTTGAAATGGAACCAATAGAGAAGTACCAAAAGTGCAAAACCGGCACACCTGTGACCTGACACTCCAGGCAGGCTAAAGCAAACGCTCAAAGTGTTTGAAATATTTCTAATAGTATTTGAACCCAGCTCTGAATAGCTCATTAGGAGATCATGGGTGCGAGTGCAGGCTGACTGAAGATGAGCCTTGACTTGTAGTGTTCATTCCACGTGAATCTACTGTTATTAGGCTGGTACCAAATGGCACCCTATTTCCTATGGGACCTGGTCAAAAGTAGTGTACTACATAGGGGATAGGGTGCCATTTGGGACGTACACTACCAACCACAATGGGCTTCATTCATTAATGGGTTGGCTTGTCAGTATGCTTTTGGTGTTTTGAGCCATTCACAATAACAGGGATCCAGTGGTCCTCTGTAGCTCAGCTGGTAGAGCACGGCGCTTGTAACGCCAGGGTAGTGGGTTTGATCCCCGCGACCACCCATAGACAAAAATGTATGCACGCATTACTGTAAGTCACTTTGGATAAAAGCGTCTGCTAAATGGCATATTATTATTCTCACCGGCATGTGTGTGCGTGCGTTTCATGATTCACTGGCCCAAAACTAAGGCTTGATCATGCCACAGCCACATAGCAGTTACTGGTGGTAGTGTTAATTATAACTATTGGCTAGATCCCAGGTAGAGGCCTCATTCGTTAACAAAGGCAAAGAAGATTTGAGTAAGGAATGGTATAGATGTATTTGTCCCCCACTGAGTAGATCCAAAGAGGGACTACTGTACCATGAAACAGAGATTGCGTCCCAATGACACCTATAGGGCTCTGGTCAAAAGTAGTGCACTGTATAGGGAATAGGGTGCCATTTGGGACGTAACTTCTAGCAGTCCATTGCTACTTCCCAAAGACTTGTCAAAATGTTATTTTAGACGCTTGCCTTTCGAAGCACAAAATATTATACCTAACAACAATGACGGGGAGACAATGTTGATTCAACCAGCGTGTGTCCAGTGGGGATCTTCTCTTTCTCCCTCTCTCTCCTCTTTCCTTCTTTCTCTTTCCAACCCTCTCACTTCTGACTCTCTCTCCCTCTTTCTCCCTTCCTCTCTCTTTCCTTCTTTCTCTTTCCAACCCTCTCACGTCTGACTCTCTCTCCCTCTCTCTCCCTCTCTCCCTCTCTCTCTCGTTACTGTACGTAGGAGTCTAAAACCAGAAGACTCATCTCAACTAGGTCTATTTTAGGCTGCCTTTAATCTGAAGCAGGACTTAACACAGAAACTCTTCAACTCAGTCAGTCACATGACAAGTGCACTGACCTGCGTCATCAAGATCGTTTAGTAAACTGAGTTGACTCCAACTGAGGGGTAACACAGAGAGTTGCTAGTGGTAGTAGTAGTAGTAGTGGTAGTGGTAGTGGTGGTGGTGGTGGTAGTGGTAGTGGTAGTAGTAGTGGTAGTGGTAGTGGTGGTGGTGGTGGTAGTGGTAGTGGTAGTGGTAGTGGTAGTAGTAGTGGTACTAGTAGTGGTAGTGGTAGTGGTCGTGGTAGTAGTAGTGGTAGTGGTAGCAGCGGCCCTACTTCTCTGAGAGTATATATAGTTCCCTAATCCCCAGCCATCAGCCATCGGCCATCGGCCCGTTAATGAGCTCAGATCCTCAGACTGTCACTGTGACCAGATAATTAGCCTGTGTGTGTGTGTGTGTGTGTGACCAGGTAATTAGCCTGAATGCTCAGGATCAGAGTGAGTCATCTAGGGACATGTCAGTCAGTATGTGAGAGAGAAAGAAAGAGGAAGTAAGGGGGTGGAGCTTAAATAGTTAGTTACATCAAATACAGGCTTAACTGAATGACAACAGAGACAGAATGCAATATGGAATTTTATTGAATAGTTTGGGGTAGCCTTGTCTCCGAGGAATGCTCCTCAGAGCCAGATGCGGATGACAGGTTGCCCTATGCTGGGAGAACGGGGATGACAGGCCTTCAGTTGGTGGGGGTGGGGAGGTGGAAGGTCGTTGGAAGGCTGTTGCTTCAAAACAGCAAGTGGGAGACAAAGTTTGTGTTGACATAACTACTTCCCTAGATTCATGCTCGTTGGTTGAAAGAAAGGAAAGTGATTATTGCACAAGTGAGCCCATAGGTTAATCAGCAAGCAGGGTGGGATTGCCTTAGTGTGCCATGCTCATAGGCTGAAGTTACAGTAATAGGTGAATGACATTCCGCATGCTTGCTAATAGTAAAGGAGGAGGAGAGGCGTGACGCTATGCTAATGAGGTAGCATTATAGACACTACCATAGATACCTGCTATCCTTATGAGGTAACGTTATAATCATTACCATAGATACCTGCTATGCTGACGAGGTAACATTATAGACACTACCATAGATACTTCATATGCTTATGAGGTACTGTTATAATCACTACCATATACATACCGCCTTTGCTGATGAGGTAACATTATAGACACTACCATACCTGCTATGTTGATGTGGTCAAATGATAAACACTACCATAGATACCTGCTATGCTTATGAGGTAACATTATAATCATTACCATATAGGTTCGTTTCCCACGGGGGGCAGTATTTAAAAAAAAAAAAAAAAAACATGTATGCATTCACTAACTGTAAATCGCACTGGATAAGAGCGTCTGCTAAATGACTAAAATGTAAATGTAAATATAAATGCCTGCTATGCTAATGAGGTAACATTATAAACACTACAATATAAATACCGGTTATGTTGATGAGGACACTACCATATAAATAAAAGCGATGTGAATTATATGTGTTTATGAATAAAAAGTGATCCCCGAGTCTAGACTGTGTGTATGTGTGTGTGTCTGTGTGTATTTGTGTGCGTGTGTGCGTGTGTAAGCGAGAGGTGTGTATAAGGCAACTATGAGTCACTGTGAAAGAACCAGTGGTATGTTGTCATTCTACACTTCTAGAGAATTGGGGAGGAATGACTTGAGGTACTGTAACAATATTTTCAAACCTCGACTCAGTCAGCAATTCAAGATATACAAAGTAAATTCGTCACGGATAATGAAAACATTTAGAATAATATGATTAATATAAATACAGCATCAATGACAAACAATTGCATTGCCATATTTGTGTCTTCCTAGGGTACTCATTCTTTGTAAACTTTCAAACGTGTTTCTCTCCGTCCATTGTCTGATTTGTGTTGTGCTTTTTAAGTTGTGATAGCAAACATACAGAAATGAATGCACTCGTGATGAAAGTAGGGCTCCAAGTCTTCATTCCATAAATGTACAGTACCTCCCCGTCTTTTTACCTCTAATGCTAGAGTGCCCCCTGGCGTCCTTACTGTAAACTACACTTCCCATTTTTTATGACAACGTCATCACCATAGACTGTCATGTGACCAGCAAACACTGGGCTTGTTCGACATTGCAGCCGACAGCGCGGGTGACTGCCGACTCACTGATCTACAAATCACCTTGCATCATAAATAACGTTATTGTTATTTGTAGATCAGTCAGTCAGTCAGAATTTACTCATGTTACATCACGGTTTTGATGCTCTCGAACACGGCCACAGCTTTTACGAGAAACAGAAAGTTGACGGAACAAAGGTTGTTGTTACGGTATCCAGCGCCCACCTCCATCATTTTGAACTCTTTTGAATGAACACCAAGAACCGACGAAAGTCGTTTTGAACCCACGTTCTTGCTGTATGCCGCTTGTACGGTTTCTAAGAAGGTACAGTAAGTAGGTCGACAAACATAATCTATGATAGCTACAGATTGTTTCACCAGATAATGTTATTTAACCAAATATCTTTGGTATCCATTACTGGGAGTTACAGGTTAGGTACTGTTTGTAGCACATATCATTTTCGACCAACCTTAACTTGAATGTCCGTGTCCAGTTTCAGGTGGTGCGTTTGAATTTAGAAAATGCTCAGTTATTAAAATAAATACATGTTTTGCTCCATGAAGTAATTCAACAATGTGTACAGCGCCATCTTGTCTATTTCAAACCTCTCATTGATTGAGACAGATGCATCCACCCCAAAGTGCCCCATGTCATGATAACACTCACCTCTTCTTACCATCCTTGTATTACAGACTTCCCATCTTTCTCCCCCTCTATTTCCCTCTTTCTCCCCCCCTCTCCTTCCCTCCCTCTCTTCCTCCCCTCTGTCTTTTCCCCTTGTTCCCTTCCTCCATCAGGATGTCATCTCTTCCCCAACCTCGTCATGTGATCTGGGAGACAGAGGAGCTGGTGGCCTACCTCCACCCCCGGCCATGGACCCCAGGTAGATGCATATTCTTTACCACAATACCTAGCTCTGGTCCAGGGCCCGGTTTCCCAAAAGCATCTTAAGGCTACGTTCATCGTTCAAACTTTCGTAGGAGCATCGTTAAATATCCAAGCTGTTTCCCAAACCCGTCGTTATTAACGCTGCACTTGAAAACGCTCGTAATCTAACACCTGCCTCAGACCACTTGTAGAACTGCGTCGTTAGATGCTTTTTTGCCCTCCTGCGTCACTTAATATACAGAAGATCTCAGCTAAACATAGAATCACACGGTTGATCCATCTCTCTGACCACGATAACTTTAGAACAAAAGTTGACTACAAATATGAAGTTGCCAATGTCTTTGCAATTGATACAAACAAGCCATGTATACAAAGATGCTATAAACAGTAGGCTATATGTGTTTTCAATCAATGTGAGACAATATAACCACAGGAAAGTATAATTACATCAACTTTTCAAAGCGCTGGTAGTGCGTTCAGATGTCTATCACCTGAAGCATGGGCAGAACCATTTCAAGACGTGCAGGAGCTCAGCAGGTATGCATGTATTTTTATCTTATGCGCATGCTTCAGGTGATAGACATCTGAACGCACTACCAGCGCTTTGAAAAGTTGATGTAATTCTACTTTCCTGTGGTTATATTGTCTCACATTCCTACCGCCAAAAGGACCAACCACACAGACAACCAGTAAAGTACATTAAAATATCATTTGAATTTTATTCAACATTCTGGCTTGCCGAAGTCGTTAGAGGAAACTTTCCTGACTCAAACGCTCATTTCTGCCCAACGTAGAATTCAACGTTGGGTTTTCCAGGCAAGTAACGCACCTCATGGTCAATCATTGCTATTACATTTTATGATAGTCAGTTGCTATGCAACCACTGAACATGTATAGTGAACTGAACAATCCTTCTATAGTAAACGATCATCCACTATATCTTGCTGTCTGGACTTGGGTATGTGTCCCAAATGGCACCCTATCCCCTCTATAGTGCACTACATAGGGAATAGGGTTCCATTTGGGACAATCTTTATCTTCATAAATGGAATATCAATCACAGGCACTACCATCCTGGAGCCGAAGACCCCCAGGGGCCCCGGTGAGGAACCAAGCCCAGCTCAGGGCAGTCTCTTCAGGCTGGGGGAGGGAGCCTACCTGGGGCTGCTGCTGGGGGCCAGGGCGGTGGGGGCCCTGCTGTGTGAGAGGCTGGGGGTGAAGAGATGTGCCCTGGTCTGCAGGCCCTGCCCAGACAGTCATAGTCCACCCCAGGTCTGTTGTGTTTCTATTCTATTCTATTTACTCTACTCTATTCTATTCTACTCTGTTCTTCTCTATTCTATTCTACTCTGTTCTACTCTATTCTATTCTACTCAATTCTAATCTTCTCGATTTTTCTCTACTCTTCTCTACTCTATTCTATTATATTGTGTTCTATTCTGTGTCTCATCTAGTTTTGAATAAAAATTGGCAATATAATTTACATTAATGAGCAAAAAACATAACATTTGTGTTTAGATAGCACCATAATTCTGTCCTCCTTTCTAGTATGGACAGGTAGCCTAGTAATAGTCCCTGCTGTTATTGACTGACAGATCCGGGTGCTGCCACTACACGGCCTGGACAGCGAGTGGCGCCCCCACCTGGCAGGAGACGAGCACTACACACACCACGACCCCGGCTACGTCACCTCTAAAAGCGGCCCTCGCTGGACTGACACATCCCTCCAGGAGATCCAGGCCGAGATCCGGGCCCAGCTCCCTGCCCCTGATGCCCTACCAAACCTCACCTTCCTGGGGGAAGACCCTTCGCACCCCGGCCTCTTCTCCCGGATCGTCCGTGGAGAAGAGCAGCAGTGGAGGGTGTGGGAGAATGAGGGACACGTGGCGTTCCTCACCCCCTTCCCCAACGCCCCCGGTCTCACTGTACTGGTCCCCCGTCGACCTCTGACCTCGGATATATTTAGACTCGAAGTGGCAGATTATACAAGTTTGGCACTTGCAACCCGGAAGGTGGCCAGGATTTTGGAGGAGGGGCTAGGAGCATGGGGGGTGGGGTTGATATTCGAGGGGTTTGAGATTGACTACGCTCATGCTAAATTGATACCTCTGCTCTCTCCGCCCTCCTCTCACCAGGTTGATGGGGGCTCCACCACCACCACCAGCAGCTCTCCACCTCCTCAGGCCCAGTTTAGTGCCACCTATCCTGGGTTCGTAACCTCGGAGGATGGCCCTGAGGCAAGCCTGGAGTGTTTGAAGGAGTTACAGGCCAAAATCACACAGTAATGATAATGTAATGTATCGACATGTTATGAAATATGTAATATGTATGTAACTGCATATTATGAAGGATCTGAGACTGGGTGATTATAGTATTGATGTATTGCATTTGACTACATACATTCCAATTGCATTATTGGTTGACTTGGCTCCCGAGTGGCGCAGTGGTCTAGTAGCTGTGCCACTAGAGATCCTGGTTCGAATCCAGGCTCTGTCGTAGCCGGCCGCGACCGGGAGGCCCATGGGGCGGCACACAATTGGCCCAGCGTCGTCCAGGGTAGGGGAGGGAATGGCCGGCAGGGATGTAGCTCAGTTGGTAGAGCATGGTGTTTGCAACGCCAGGGTTGTGGGTTTGATTCCCACGGGGGGCCAGTATGAAAAATAAAATAAAAATAATGTATGCATTCAATAACTGTAAGTCGCTCTGGATAAGAGCGTCTGCTAAATGACTAAAATGTAAATGTGATGTGATAGCCTGTTGATTAATGTACATACTGATTTGGTTCACCACATTATATAGACGTATGTGACCGTTTCTGTCATTCATTTTATGATCAACTTTAAATAGGACAACAATCAAGAGGTTTATTTGATAAACAGGCTACTGTAAGGTTTTCATACGTATCCTTTGAAAAGCACTTAACAGTAACATGGAAAAATACATAATTGTATGATCAAAATAAACATGTGATTTCTATTATGTTTGTAAAGTTTATTTTCAGATGATATTAGTAAGAGTACAACAGGTGGAGAAAGAAAACAGAAAGAAGTAAACCACAGCTACAAATGTTACTATACATATGCGTCATTACTCATTATCCCTGTAATGTTATTAAATGGGTACAAACAACCATGAAACCAAGCACCTTCATATTGGACTGTTGGATTCCTTCAAAAGTTGACATTTGAAACAGTGTCCAGATAGGCATACCTTGTACATAGACTGCTGACAGGGTAAGAAAAAACTATGTAATTTTGTAATTTGGGTGAGCTATCCATTTAATCATTATATTACATATGCTTCAGTCATATCATTGAATCATCATCACCTGGTGTTTTTGTCTCTCAATTATGTTTTGCGGTATCTATTTACAGAGTTCAGCGCTCACAACACATCTGCATATTCCCCTAACCAGGTCTTAACGAGATCTCTCCCTAACAAGGCTTCTAATTGGTCCCTCAGCGTTTCAATGAAGAGGTTTAATTAATCAGCAGTTAAGTGGTTAATTAGCGGATTATAAACGGCATTACCCGAGGCTATCATTATACAAAGACTGAGGCCGCATCTCAATACTCTTCATGGTTACTTTTCAGAGAAAAGAAAGACAGGGCACCACATCTCAATACTATTTCCATGGTTACTAGAGAAACAGAAAGACTGGGGCTTCATCTCAATACTCTTTCCATGGTTACTAGAGAAACAGAAAGACTGGGGCTTCATCTCAATACTCTTTTCATGGTTACTAGAGAAACAGAAAGACTGGGGCTTCATCTCAATACTCTTTCCATGGTTACTAGAGAAACAGAAAGACTGGGGCTTCATCTCAATACTCTTTCCATGGTTACTAGAAAAACAGAAAGACTGGGGCTTCATCTCAATACTCTTCATGGTTACTAGAGAAACAGAAAGACTGGGGCTTCATCTCAATACTCTTTCCATGGTTACTAGAGAAACAGAAAGACTGGGGCTTCATCTCAATACTCTTTTCATGGTTCCTAGAGAAACAGAAAGACTGGGGCTTCATCTCAATACTCTTTCCATGGTTACTAGAGAAACAGAAAGACTGGGGCTTCATCTCAATACTCTTTTCATGGTTCCTAGAGAAACAGAAAGACTGGGGCTTCATCTCAATACTCTTTCCATGGTTACTAGAGAAACAAAGACTGGGCATCATCTCAATACTCTTTACATGGTTACTAGAGAAACAGAAAGACTGGGCGTCTTCTCAATACTCTTTTCATGGTTACTAGAGAAAGAGAAAGACTAGTGCGTCATCTCAATACTCTTTCCATGGTTACTAGAGAAACAGAAAGACTTAGGCTTCATCTCAATACTCCTTTAATTGTTGCTCTTTAGAGAAAGAGAAGGACTGGGGCTGTATCTCAATAATCTTCATGGTTAGGTGTAGGGTGAAGTTCTCCCTAGATAATCTTAGGTTAGTTTAGCATTTCCCCCACTGATGGTTAAGGTTTGGATTGAGGGAGGGGAAGCTGTTCCTAGATCTTTACCTAGGAGAAACATTAACCCGGAGCATGGCTTCATCTCAATACTCTGTCATGGCTTCCTTTCCTTCAGTGCCCCAAACAGGTGAAAGGGCTTAAAATACATGTCATCCTTTGAAAACAAACATAATCTTGAAGGTAATATTTTTAGGGTCGCATTCATTAATGCACACGTATCAAAACGTTTTGTAACTGAAAACGCAAGAAAGCGTTTCTTATTGGACAAGTTGATGATAGTTGTTTTTTGTTTCAGTCCGTTTTCTTCCGTTTGGTGCTTAATAAACATGACACAGGTCTACATCCACGATAACAACCCAGGATTGTAAAGAGACAGGATTTCCCTACACTTTTGTCACAGTGTTAGGAAGAGAAGACGGCGTCTGACCAGTTTCCTGGTCCGGATGAGATAACACTGAGGCTGGATGAAACTGCTCATAGAAAGCACTGTGTAGACCACACAGGTCAGCGGTGAGTAGGGCTGCAACGCTTTGATATAGAACCTTAACACAAAGTCAACCAGGGGCGGAACGTGGTGAACGCTAATCAACACGAAAACGGTCAGCACTTTTTAAAGGCCTGCTTTTTTGATTGGGTGGACCGCCTGTCTACCTGGCCCTGATTGTCTCAGGGACCTAAGGATCGGGATGTTGCAGTCTGAGGTGATCGCCATGGCGATGACAAGGAGGCTCATGATGACCATCCACTTGCGGTCAGCATTTTGGAACTTCAGCAAGAGGCAGTACGAAGCGGTGAGGGAACACGCAGAAAAACACACCCTAGCAGCGTCTCTTTGCGACCTGCAGTGTGGCGTTATTTTATGTTTTTAATTTGTACACTTAGTGGCGTTATTTTATGTTTTTAATTTGTACACTTAGTTTACAAACATTCTGCCAACCATGGATTTCGAGTGGTGGGTTTTGGACTGATCTTGTTGATCGTGTACATACCCGCTACGAACGGACTAAATAATGAAAACGTTGCTGGCAGCGGAATCCAATACAGCTGGGAGACTTGGCTGGATGACAGAGTCCCGGACAGAGAAGTGGAGCCGGCCGGCTTCACCCTGGTCGGAGCGGACCTCGATCTGACAGTCACAGGGAAAATCGATCCTGGTAAGAGAGCGACTCTGTACCCCCGAGCCCCGACATTGAACTGCTTTCTGTGTCACTGTGACCTTACTATCTGCCCCGTGAGTTCCCCCAATTGTTTGTTACCGTTGTGTACTGTTGATAATCACAAGTTTACTGGAGAACTGAGACCAAGTAGAGACTTTGGACAGGGTGGATATGGTATAATAAAGGCAGTTTATTCAGAGGTAAAGATATCTGGAATCGCGTGCACGGACTCGTTCGTCAAACTCTTAGGGAGCTATCTGAAGAGAGCCCCGAAAACATTGTGTGCTGACATTTTATACAATAAATGATGTAGGTTGAATCTAGTAGTTCTGATCTTCTGATTGGTCCTGATGAGTTGGGCGAGGTCCCCTCCACTGTTGCATTGGCTCTGAGTCGGGTTCTCTGTCTTCAAATGTTCAGCCTAAAGAGAGGGGATTTTTGTGTGTGTGTGTGTGTGTGTTTAACAGTGATGATGTGTGTGTGTGTGTTTAACAGTGATGATGTGTGTGTGTGTGTGTGTTATCAGTGATGATGTGTGTGTGTGTGTGTGTGTGTGTCCTCAGAGCAAGAACTCGTGAGTTGGAAGAACTGAGAGACCTATGGCGTGGGTGTTGTCCTTGGCCACCTGCTGACAAGGCTGACAAGATAGGACTCTTTTGTCCATAAACTTGGGCTTCTTGGTTTTCAGAAAGAACAGTGGGTGACACACAACAAGGTAGCTGTCCACACGTAGACAACATAGCAACAGAGGCCCGCTGAACTGGTTGAACCCAAATGAAACAAAGGAGGTGTCGACCCCCTTCAGGGTGAGGAGGGCGTATTCAACGGGGACCAGGAGGCAGAAGAGGAGGTCCATGACGGCCAGGGTGAGGTTGAAGATCTCAGAGGTGGAGCAGACACCAAGTTTACCTGAAATCATTGGTAATTACCAGAAATGTACATGTTAAAAACGTTGTAAATATAATTACACAATAACATTTCATTGTAACACAATACATTTGAAATGCATTCTACCCGTCTTTGCTTGAAACACCTGCAAAGCTAGTTTGTATTGCATTTTTTGTTCTTAAATACATATTTCAAATGTATTACAAATCAGGTGACCAAGTCATTTCACATGCCATGGAATGTATTCATCTTGTGTGAAATTTCCGGTAGGGTGTAAGAGAGAGAGTGTGTCTGTCTCCTAGTGTGTGTGTGTGTGTATGTGTTTACCCAGGAGGGAGCGTAGAACCAGAGCGTTGGCCGGGACACACAGGACCAGAACCATAGTGACCGAGAGGAGGAGGTAGAGGGTGTAATGGTCGAAGGGAACAACTTCCAACTTCTGTGGTGTTGGAGGAGGAGTGGCTGGAGTTGAGGGTTAGGTAGTCCATGGTGATGATGATGATGGTGATGAGGACTCATTATAATGCTGTCTCTGGGAGTAGAGATGGGAATAGGTTTTGATGAAATAGAGTTTGAGCAGGGCAGGAGCAAAAGCCTGCACACCCAGTAGCTCTCCAGGAGGACGGTTAGCCTGCCCTGCTCTCTCTGTACACAGACCTATAGACCGACATCTGGTCATACACAATGCCCCCCCCCCCTGGCATTGTAATGGTGTTCCGATGTTCCATAACATGAAATTCTATCTATTCAAATCAGTGTGGAATCCATTAGTTCCAGGAACTTGTGGTGGAACGCAAATGACCCTCAAATCAAATCAAATTGTATTGGTCACATACACATATTTAGCAGATGTTATTGCAGGTGTTAAGTGTGATGTTTGTTTTGGTGTGGCTATCATTAAGCTTTAACTACTGCAGGCCTATGATATGAAGGCATTGCGCCCCGGCGCTCCAACTGACTCCGACAGATGAACTTGAGGTGAGGCCTACCAGAGATACTCCTATAATCTAACAATATAATGCTTATCTTTATACAAAATATTCTGTTAGAAAATTAATGAATTTGCCTCCTTCTGTACGTCTATATCTGTATAGCAGATGCAGTAGCCATCTGACATAAAGAAATGCACGTCGGTGTCGTAGCAAGCCCCCGGCATATCTCTACCTCTATCTCTCTGAGGTAGGCCTAAGCTTCTCTTCCTCCATAAAGGCCATATACAGCATGTGTGTGTGTGTTGACTTGTTGAAAACTAAATGCCCTAAAGGCATCATTCTTCTTCTAACCTGAGTCTACCCTACAAGACAACCTGAGCTGTAGCAGTAAGACCTTGCATTGTATTTCTCATGTCTCTAGCGCTACCGTTGACTTGCATCACCTGTTGACAGTGTGGAGGGCCTAGTCTACTTGGCCCTCTGAGTTGCATCAGAGAGAGAAAATATTACATTGTAAGACAGCCAAGATGATGTATCCCTATTCCCGATGTAGTGCACTACTTTTGACCGGAGCCCTATGGGCCCATATAGGGAATAGAGTGCCATTTTGGACGCAGGCTTAGTATATGGATACCATGTTGTTCATCACATCTATCCAACTCTACACCCCACCCCTATCTTTGGAGTAATTTCTCAAAACATAATTACATTACCCCTTTCACAGGCACCGCCCACCCCGTTTAGTGCCATCAACCAATCATGGCCTTCCGTTGTGGCTGCGCCAAAGGGAGGCTATAATGTTGAGGTTGTCGAGGTTCCCCAGATTGGTCGTATCCATAAGCGTCATCCTCCTACTATCTCTCACTCTCTCTCTCCCTCCCTCCCTCTCTCTCTCCCAGGGGACTGTCTTTATAAAGCATTGGCCACTGTGAGACGGGGCTATATGGAGTAAGGGTCCCGGTTTGGCATACAGCTTGGCTTCTGGGGGCCAACAGAGCGATAGAGAGCTTTGCTACCGGGAGTCAGTTGGCGTGCTCGACTCGATAGTTTGTAATCAAAAGTCATTGGGTCCAGGGTTTACTAGACATGTAGATTGGCAAAGGAAAACCCACACTCATTTAAATAGTTTGTTCTACTGAGGGACTGAGACTGAAGGAGAAGAGTGGAGGAGGACATATCCATCTCTGTTGAGGTAGGTGAGATTTAGATTTAGTTGATTGACAATTTTTTTTACTGAATTTGATTGCAATTTGTGACTTTTATACGTCGTAATAATGCTCAAAGAAATGTAAGTGGCTCTCTGTTCGATTTGAACGAGTGATGCGTTATGATAACAGATTTTTTAAGCATCCATTTTAAGAGGTGCAGCAATCGCAATGAAATTAAATTTATAAAGTGACCAGTGATTTTTTGATGTCAGCCAACAATATGGAGTGATTTTTGTGCCAATTTATTTTGGTACTAAAATCCATTCATACAATAAACTGAACTGACAACATGCAAAAGTTAATGTAGTGGAATATAGTAGTTTTATGATAGCAGGCAGCATATCAAAGTCTATTGGTCCTCAACTCTGTAATCCACAATACATATACAATGATGTACACTACAATTATATACAACTGTACAGTATATATAATATACAATTATACAATTATAACTCATGTCAATTGTTCCCTTTCCCCCCTGTTTAGAACCAAACCTCTTCTCCACTTTGACCACACCTTCCATGGCGACGATGGCTAACTCCATAGTGATGACCTCCGATGACCTCTCCCTGAACTCAACGTCGACCCTTAGCCCGGAACCTTGGACCCCGCCTCCCTGGTACCAATACCACGTCTGCTCAGTGGCCCCTTACGGATTCATCTTCTACTTTGGAGTCAAAGTCTTCAACCTGGCCATAGGTGTAGTAGCATGATGTACTACATTACCCATAATTCTCTGATAGTAGGTGTAGTAGCATGATATACTACATTACCCATAATGCTGTGGTAGTTGGGTGTAGTAGCATGATATACTACATTACCCATAATGCTCTGGTAGTAGGTGATAGTAGGATGATATACTATATTACCCATAATGCTGTGGAAGTAGTAGCATGATATACTACACGCCTTCAATTTAAAGTTGTTTTTGACAAAATGAAAAATGTTACAGTTTGTCACTTTCCATGAGTTGGAGTAATAACATGTTAAACTACTTAAAACATTGGCTGGAATCTAGGTTGTGCCTTTTGATTTCGTGAAAATTAACAACTAAGAAAGAAAAGTCAATGAGAGAAGTGAAACATTCTAACACCAAACCACGGCCTGGTCTGCTTGTTCTGCTTTGTAAGCTTTCCCGGAAGTCTTGTGACGTTGTGCCTCTGGGTTTAGAAACTATAGGACCCATAATGCTGTGGTAGTAAGTGTAGTAGCATGATATACTACAGTACTCATAATGCTGTGGTAGTAGGTGGAGTAGCATTATGTAGCTTTTGACCAGAGCCCTATAAAGTAGTGCACTGTATAGAGGGCTCTGATCAATAGTAGTGCACTATACAGGGAATAGGGAAAGTAGGACACTATATAGGAAATGGGTGTCATTTTGGACTCTGCCTTAGTAAAGATATTCCTGTCACTGACACAGTGGTGTCCCTACCGTCTATGGAGCCTGGTCAAAAGTAGCGACATAGGGAATAGTGTGCCATTTGGGACGCATCCTAACACAGTCCTTATCGATACAACAGGCACACCCTGCAACATACTGGTCCTGTGGCAGATCTCCAGCAGGAAAAGTGACTCGTCCACGTCTGACATCTTCATCTTTAATCTGGCTGTATTGGATGCCTACTTCTGCCTCATGGGGCCCATAGACATGGTCAACAGGCTGGTCCTGGACCACCAAGGCATCTGGTACTTCCAACGCTTTGCCTACGGGGTCAAAGACACAGCACCCCTCTTCCTGGTGGGTAGATAATAAGGCCTAGGTAGTTAATGTTATATAGACCTGGGTTATGTTATAATCTGGGTTATGTTATATAGACCTGGGTTATGTTATATAGACCTGGGTTATGTTATAATCTGGGTTATGTTATATAGACCTGGGTTATGTTATAATCTGGGTTATATTATATAGACCTGGGTTATGTATTATAATCTGGGTTATGTTATAATCTGGGTTATTTTATGAGCTTCTTATGTTGTAGTCTGGGTTATATTATAATCTGGGTCATATTATAATCAGAGTTATGTTATAATCTGGGTTATATTATAATCTGAGTTATGTTATAATCTGGGTTTATGTTATATAGACCTGGGTAATTATGTTATAATCTGGTTTATATTATAATCTGAGTTATGTTATATAGACCTGGGTAATGTTATAACCTGAGTTATGTTATAACCTGGGTAATTATGTTATAATCTGAGTTATGTTATAATCTGGGTTATACATTAATCTGGGTTATATTATAATCTGTATATATTAATCTGGGTTATATTATAATCTGGGTTATATTATAATCTGAGTTATATTCAATCTCTTTCCTCCCAGGTGTGTATCTGTCTGGACCGCTACGTAGCCGTGGTCCACCCAGTGCTGTTCACCGCTATCCGTGACAACAAGATCCGCGTTGGTGTCTCCGTGGTAACCTGGGCCCTCATCCTGGCCTACAGCCTCACCAAGAGCATCCTGGGAGTCATGTCTGTCAACGAGGTGTTCAGCGGCCTCATCCTCTTCGCCTTCGCCCTCATGATCTACTGTAACCTCTCCATCATATGGGTCCTACGCCGCTCCGTAGCTGGGAAGGAGGTGATGCACCCTGTGAAGAAGAAAGCCTTCAAAATGGTGCTCGTCATCTTGGGTATAATCTTCGTCAACTACCTTCCTCCTGTGGCTCTTGTTCCGTTCTTCTCCTACTACACGTTTGTCCAGTTCCGCTGTCAGGTGACTATCAGTGTGTTCTCCATCATGGATCTGAGTTGTAGTATGGAGCCACTGCTGTATATTACCAAGATGGACAGGCCTGCGTGTGTACCTGACTGGTGCTGTGGGGGGAAGAGCTCGGCCAAGAAGCCCTATGAGGTTAAAGTGTGATGGGAATCATCACTATCCTGCCAAGTTACACAGTCAGAAGGCCCGCTAAATTCTACGGTTCCTCTTCTTAAACTCTGATTTTAAACCTTAACTTTAACAGAACCTTAACCACACTGCTAACCTTATGCCTAACCTTAACCTTAAATTAAGACCAAAAATAACATTTTAGTTTGCAGAAAGTTTTAAGATATAGCCAATTTTGACTGTGCAGCTTGGCCATTTAGTGGGAATCATGTGATAAGGGAGAGAAGAAGAAGCTGGTGGGTGGAGCTATAGGAGGACGGGCTCATTGTAATGGCTTGAATGGAATCAATGGAACGGACCATGTGTTTGATGTGCTTGACTCTGTTCCATTTATTCTATTCCAACCATTACAATGAGCCTGTCCTCCTATATCTCCGCCCACCAGCCTCCTCTTTGGGAAAGAAGGACCGGGGACAGTGGGGTGACCATCTACCAACTCCTGTCCTGGAGAGCTACTGGTTTGCAGGCTTTCATTCCAGCCCTGCAGTACACATTAGATTCAGCCTGCACACTCCTGGCAGGTCTTAAATTAGGTAGGCCGCAATACACACATTTAAATATATCACAGGTTAAATGTAGTCTGTGTGGACATGTATACTGCTGTATTGCCAATAAAAACTATTAATATGTATTATTATTATTAGTAGTAGTAGTATTATTATTATGTTAACCTGGATAATACTAATAATCATTAGTGATTTCTGTGAATGTGATTGTTTGTTTATTTATACTTCACTATAGCTGGCCCATAAGCAATGTCTCCCAGTGTAGATCTCCCATTTCCACCGGATCTGGCCTATATGATGCTTCACGTTGCCAGTGTTCAGGTAACTGCCAAAATAAAGGAAACACTTGAGTAAATGAGGGATACAAAGTAAATTGTATTGAAAGCAGGTGCTTCCACACAGGTGTGGTTTCTGAGTTAATTAAGCAATGAACATCCCATCATGCTTAGGGCCATGTAGAACAACGCTCAGTTGTCCATTATTTTGGCTACACTCTTAGAATTGGTCTGCCAGTGGCTAGCGAAAGTATTTACCCCCCTTGGCATTTTTCCTATTTTGTTGCCTTACAACCTGGAATTAAAATTGATTTTTGGGGGGTTTGTATCATTTGATTTACACAACATGCCTACCACTTTGAATGTGCATTTTTTGTTGTTGTTGTGTTAAACAAACAAGAAATAAGACAAAAAAACAGAATTTACACTTACTTCCTGTTTCCACACTGCCAGTGAGTTGTCTTACAAAACCTCTCCACTTCGCTCTGCAAGTACACTTGAAGATATCTTTTAATATTTTGTTTGATAGTATGTTTTTAGTGATAAACAATACACTGAGTGTACAAAACATTAGGAGCACCTGCTGTTTTCATGACATCAACTGACCAGGTGAATACAGGTGAAAGCAATGATCTCTTATTGATGTCACTTGTGAAATCCACTTCAATAAGTGTAGATGAAGGGGAGGAGAAAAGTTAGAGGGATTTTTAAGTCTTGAGAGAATTTCCGACATGGATTGTGTGTGTGCCATTCAGAGGGGGTATGGTAGTAGGTGCAAGGCGCACCGGTTTGTGTCAAGAACAGCAACGCTGCTAGGTTTTTCACACTCAACAGTTTCCTGTGTGTATCAAGAATGGTCCACCAACCAAAGGACATCCAGCCAACTTGACACAACTGTGGGAAGCATTGGCGTCAACATGGGCCAGCATCCCTGTGGAACACATTCGACACCTTGTAGAGTCCATGCCCGACAAATTGAGGCTGTTCTGAGGGCAAAAGAAGGTGCAACTCAATATTAGGAAGGTGTTACTGTTTTGTACACTCAGTACAGTATTCTGTTAATAATTGGTCTCAATGCTTCAGTCAGGATTGTAAGAATAAAATGGATTTGAAGCAATAAATGAATAATTGTGTATAAAGTGCTATAGACAGATCTTACCTCATTTGATGTATAAGGTATAGTAATTCACCAGCTATAGTTGACTACCTTCATGTTGCTAAGACTGCAGGATGTCAGATGCAACAATGGCCTTGAGAACAGCAGGAAGTGTGTTGGTCTTTTTCTGGTCTGTGGCAGGTATGGCCTCATAACTTTTCAGTAATCATTTTTCTCCTATTCTTTGCTTTTCAATCTATAGACATTTGTAAATTGCTATATAAACAATTCACAATAAGTTGCTTCTGAAGGTTTTTCCTGGTTTGCATTGTTCATTTCCTTGTTCATATTCATAGCTGTCGCAAGCGGAAAAAATATTTAAATATACTTAAATCAAACTTAATGTATTTTTTATCTTTAAGTATGTCCATGATAAATATACTTAAGTATATTTTAAATGATCTAAATTGGAGCAATTTTAAATAAATGTCATGCATTTAATGTTAATTTTATTTGTATTTTATTAGCATTAAGTATATTAAATACATTTAAAATGATCTAAATTGGGACACATTTTTTGTACTTCAGTATATCAGATTAAGAGCAAAACAAATACTTTGAAAACACCTTTACATTTCCCAGAAATTAGTATACTAACATGATATTAGAATTCCTGTATTTTCTTTGCAAATCAAGTGTATTTATAATGTTTCAAGTATACTTTTACAAATAGACTTCTACTCACTAACCACATTTAGCTATTATAATTAGCCATGTAAAGGTTACCTTGATTGACCAAGGCATCTTCTCAGCCAACGTTAACATGCTACTTACAAAGCAGTTGTGGCTGGAGCAGCAATTTACAAGTAACATTTTTAATAACTGTGCACCAGTGGTATTTCACACTTTAGTTCACATTAGTGATAAATTAACATTTCAATAAAATGTGTAATTCAGGTATCACGTTTCAAGAGAATGCAGACAGTGTCGAAGTAACAAAAGTTTGTTACAAAACAGGGGGAAGGCAAACGACAGGTCAAGGGCAGGCAGAGGTCAGTAATCCAGATCAGAGTCCAAAAGGTACAGAACGGCAGGCAGGGTCAGGGCAGGCAGAGGTCAATAATCGCGGGTGGTGTGACAAGGTACAGAATGGCAGGCAGGCTCAGGGTCAGGGTCAGGGCAGGCAGAATGGTCAAAACCGGGAAAACTAGAAAACAGGAACTTGCGAAAGCCTGGGGAAAACCGCTGGTAGGCTTGACGAAACAAAACAAACTGGAAACAGACAAACAGAGAACACAGGTATAAATACACTGGGGATAATGGGGAAGATGAGCGACACCTGGAGGGGGTGGAGACAAGCACAAAGACAGGTGAAACAGATCAGGGTGTGACAGCAGGGTTTCCCAAACTCGGTCCTCGGGATCCCAAGGGGTGCATGTTTTGGTTTTTGCCTAGCACTACACAGCTGATTCAACTAATCATCAAGCTTTGATAATATGAATCAACTGTGTAGTGTTACAACAACAAAAACAAAACGTGCACCCCGGGTCCCGAGGACCGAGTTTGGGAAATGATGATGTAATAAAAGTACAACATTATTCAATTGGAAATGAACATTGAAACATTTGAATAAGCTTAATATGAGGAACAATATCTTACTATAAATCAAAACTTCAGCTACAGAAAAGGATGCTGCATAATATGGAGAAAAAAATGACTTGTGTTTTTGAAAGTATACTTTAAATATATTCTGTGGACATTTAAATATACTTTATTGAAAGTATACTTAAGTATATTTTCTTGAGATATGAAAAAGTATACTGTCAGGACGAATGTTCCTCAGCTGTGCATGTTTCCTTATGTGGAATAAACACTCCTTATCATTGTCAACTTTCTCGCCTCTCTTCTGAACAGGAATTCAAAAAGTACTTAACTCATTATTGGCACTGAAACTATACTTATAGCGTACTTGATCACTCACGAGCAGAGTTTCATAAAACAATTAATCAATGCATCAACTTAATAACAACTCCAAGTGTATTTTTAATGAATATACTAAATTACAATTAAAGTGTATGAATTTGAAGTACACTTTTAATGAGTGTGTTTAAGTGTAATGATAGTGAACATAGAGTATACTTAAAGACTGAAAAACAAATAATTTAAATTACACTTTTAGTAAGTGCATTGAAGGTTGATGATATTATATTTATAGTATACTAAGAGACTGAAAATAATAATTTAAAGTACACTTTTAATAAGTGTGTTGAAGTGCAATCTCATATTTGAATATTTAAGTATACTTTAGTATTATTATTATTATATACAGTGCCTTCAGAAAGTATTCCCACCCCTTGACCTTTTCCACATTTTGGTGTTACAGCCTGTTTCTCCACAATACTTATCTAATTGACAGTGAAAAGAAGGAAGCCTGTTACAGTTTTGACTTAAATCTGCTTGAAAATCTATGGTAAGACTTGAAAATGGTTGTCTAGCAATGATCAACAACCAATTTGACAGCGCTTAAAGTATTAAAAATAAAATAATGGTTAAATATTTTACAATCCAGGTGTGCAATGCTCTTAGAGACTTACCCAGAAAAACTCACAGCTGTAATCGCTGCCAAAGGTGATTCTAACATGTATTGACTCAGGGGTCTGAATACGTATGTAAATTAGATATTTCTGCATTTCATTTAATACATTTGCAAACATTTCTAAAAACATGGATTCACTTTGTCATTACGGGGTATTGTGTATAGATGGGTGAGATTTTAAAAAAAATCCATTTTGAATTCAGGCTGTATCACACCAAAATATGGAATAAGTCAAGGGGTATGAATACTTTCTGAAGGCACTGTATATTTAAGTATACTTTAGTAATAATAATACATGGGACTTATATAGCTATTTTTCAAGGACCAAAAGTCACTTTACAAATTGTAGAAAAAAAAGAAAAAAAATCAGGAGTCAAACAAAACATCAGAGTAAACAAAAATATACGTAAAGAGAGGGTGGGCTCAAAGAAGAGAGAGTAAAGAGAGGG